TTAAAGTCCCAGAACAGGCTGAAGAAACTGTGGTGACAGAAATCACAGCAGTGTTTCAGAGGATGCAGGATCACCCGAGAGGGCAGGAGGGAACTCTCCGGGGAGATGGAAGGTCCTGCGTCTTGACTGGGGTGGTGGTTGTATGGGTTTATACATCTGTCAAGACTCCACTGACTGTGCACTTACAATGGACGCATTTTATCATATGTAAATTAGAGCTCGATAAAGCCAATTTCTAAAAAGTCCTGTTTATTTTTCTCTCCAGCTATTGCTCTAAAATGGTTTTTTTTGGGGGGGGCAGTGGAGTTCTGTTCCTATCACTTGCACAAAACCCCCTGCAGACGTGTGCCTGTTTATATCACTCTTGAGAAGTAGTTAAAATCCTCCAGTTACTTTGATACACAAGCAGGGTCTCAAGTCGGATATTAGAATGGTCAGCTGCAGGTGACAGTGGAAATGAGGGACTTGGTTTGGAGTGAAATCTTCTCCTTGCCCCCTGGGGTGCTCTCCAGGCTGGAATCTGGGAAGGATGAGGGACAGAGGATCCTTGTCCCCCGTGTTCCTCCTTAAGATTCCACCTCTTCTTCCTCGGTTTCTTTCACCCACTGCGAGAGACGCCAGGTGAGCGTGTGACTGCCACTCCCCCCAGCTTCCCTTCACAGCGGACGTTTCCCTTGTGAGCATTGTAGGGGTCAGGGGACAAGAGGTCCCCCTTCTGGAAACACTCCACAGCCCTTCCCTTGGGGCGGACGTTCTTCTCTGGCTGGTCGCCTGCAGTCGCTGGTCTCCCACGGGTGGGGTCCCTTTTGGGGGTCCTGTGTCCCTTGGAAGCAGACTTCTCAGGCAGGATGGGAAGTGGCCTCAAGCTGAACTTCTCTCCTCATGACCCACACCTGGTCCTTGGAAACACATGGGCTTTTCCTCCTCGCGTCCTTGGAGTATTGGCCCCGCTGGGGTTGCTGGATAAAATACAGGATGCCCAGTTCATTTTGAATTTCAGATGAATAGAGTCCTTTTTTTTTTTTTTTGAGACAGGGTTTTGCCAGGTAGAGTGCAGTAGCATCATCATAGTTCACTGCAACCTCAAACTCCTGGGTTCCAGTGATCCTCCTGTCTTAGCCTCCCTCCTTGGCCTCTTGAGTAGCTGGGACTACAAGTGCATGCCAGCACTCCTGGCTGATTTTTTTCTATTTTTGGTAGAGATGGGGTCTCGCTGTTGCTCAGGCTGGTCTCAAACTCCTGACCTCAAGCAATCCTCCTGCCTTGGCCTCCCAGAGTGCTAGGATTACAGGTGTGAGCCACCGCCCCCAGCCAAGAGTCCTTTTAAAGTACAAGTATATACCAAATATTGCATGGGAAATACTTATGCTAAAAAACTCATTTGCTGCTATTTATCCCAATGCTGATTGGACATCTGGGAACAGCCTGCTTAACCCCTCCCCCCTCGTGTACAAGCATAATTCCAAGAGCAGCGTGCCTGCTTTCTGCTCTCGTCTCTGTGACCTCGGTGGGGTCACTTAATCACTCTGTGCTTCAGTTACCTTATCGGTTAAGTGGAGATAATCATGGAACCTACCTTCGTAGGGGTGTTGTGACAAAGACAATTAAACGGAGATAACGCAGGTATAGTAGTTTGAGCCGTGTGTGGCACACAGCACATTCTCATTAGCTGTTGATTATTATTAGTGTTATGGTGGTAGTGGGTTTTGTTGCTATCACATGAAAAGAGGAAGGACTTGAGCCTCCAGGTAGATTATTTTCTGGAGAACAGGAGCCAGAACTAGCAGGCTGAGGCTCTTGGAATGGGGCATTGGGAGGGAACGGGGTAGTTATTAAGAGCATGCCTGCAGGAGAGAGTGGGGCAGAGATGGGGCATGATGGAGGGGCTGGGGTGGGAACATGCCAGGGAGCTTGAGAGAGGATCTTTTGGCCCAGGAATGTGAGGGATTTCAGACATGCTGGAGGATAAAAGAGAATGTGGGGTGTTGACAGGAGCAGCCATGGACTGTGCAGAAATACACAGTAGGAATTGACGAATGCAAACTCTGGAGTCAGCCCGCCTGGGTTCAAATCCTGTCTGTGCCTCAGCAACCATGGGCAAGGGAACCCAATTCCTGCCATCCTAGAGCTTGTATTCTCTGGAGGGGAAAACCAGTAGAGCTACAAAATCTGCTTTCAGGTGGCGAGCAGTGACATGAAGAAAAACAAGAGGGTGCGGGCATGGAGAGAAGGTGTCATGGCTCTTCCGTACCAGGGCCAAGACCCCGGAGAAGAGAGGGCTCCATCTCTCAAAGCTGTGTGTCTTCAAAAAGCCACTTCATGCCTGCTGTGGGGGCTCAGCTGCCTGGGGAGCTTTGGGGGTTCTAGAAACATCTCTGACATCTAAAGGGTGATGCCTCACCCTTTCCCCACTCTGCTCCGAGTCTCCACATCTGAAGAGCCAGGGAAATGCTAGGGAATTGGTGACGCTCTGACCATCCGCCACTGGATTCCTGAACCGGGGAGGTCTTAGGGGCCAGGGTGGGCAGAAGGGAAGGCAGGAACAGAGAAGCCCTGTAGAGAGCTCCTCATCCCCTTTCTCCCAGAAAACCTCCTTTTTATCTGATTTTTACATTCAAGATTTTTTTCTGTTTTAAATATTGTGATTCAACATACAATTGTGCTTGAACAAAGGGCTGGGGGTTGTGAATATTTATAGACTCTGGTCTCTGTGATTCTCTAAGATATCTCACCCCTGATATGTAGGGATCTGCCTCATTTAAGAAACTGAAAGGATGATGAAAAGTCAAAACTTTGGGAATTTTAGTTGTGGGATTTAATTCTGCATTATGGCTTTTGCATTCAACCTTTAACGTGTGTGTCCAATAACATGGGTTATTGGAATATTTATTCCAAGTTGAGTTAATTTGTTTTGTAATTGTTCTTCCCTGCCTCCAATGAGTAATTTTTAGATACTCTGAAGGATAACTCTGTATTAACTCTGGGGACCTATTTATTTTCCCTCCAGAAGGATATATTTAAGCCAATAGGAAAATAGGATTTGCTATACAGGAATTCTCTCTGTAGGAGACTTTTTGTGCATCTGTAAATTTCATGCATGCCTCTGAGCACTGATACAAAAGCTAAGGAACTTGGGGATCTGGAAATTCTCCAATGTGGGTCATGCTGAGCAGAGTCTTGGGACGTGTTTTTCAAGGTACGGAAATCGATGTGAGTGTATCTCACTGTCTTCCCTATCTCAGTAAATGACAACCCTGTCTTTCCACTGTTGAGGCCAACAACTTTGAATTGCTGTTGGCTTCTCTCTTTGCCTTACACATCACAGCAGACCCACCAGCAAAGCTGTCAGGCTTAACCCTGGAAACAGATCACAAACTGGACTACTTCTGGCTACCTCCACTGCCCCCACTAAAACCTAGTGGCCAGTATCTTTTGCTTGGATTATTGCCACATCTGTCTCATGGGTCTCTTTGGTCTCTCCCTGTAAGGTGGCTTATCTAATCATAGTATCCTCCATGTAACTTGGTAACTGGCCTGTTTCGCTGAGGATACATTGTATTAGGATGATTCTTGTTAGGACAGCACTATGTTCAACATACTGTGGATACAAAATAAAGTCTAAAAAACTTACCATAAGCAGTAAAAAGCATAAAATGTTGCCAGACAGCACCAAATCCAAGAAAAAGTTTGTGTTTCCTGGGACATACAAAGACAGCAAGAGCAGGGCAGCAGCACTTTTATTCCAACAGTGACCATGTGGATAATAAGGCACTATTGATTATGGATCCTGTGGGACATGGGTGCATCAGATGTGAAGGTGTCATCATTATCGCTCTCTTGTTGTGAGAGTAGGTGTGTAGCAACAGGTTTGGACGAATGTGCACTCTAATGTAGGTCTAGAACATTTCTATCACCCCAAAAGGTCCCTCTGTGCTCCTTTGCAATCCCCACGCCCTGCGACAGGTACACCTCCCACCCCAGCCCTGGTGACCACTGATCAATTTTGGTTTGAATCTTAAATTGCTGTGTCTGCCTTTCGTTGGTTCTAATATTCAGCTGGTGGCAGGAGCAGGGTATGTGTATTAGAGCCCCAGCTATGGAGGTAGAGTGCCTTGATCTACCTTGATCTGCTCAGCTACAGCCTTGCTGGTGACCTCCTTGCACCTCAGTTTCCTAATTCATAGAATGGGATTATAATTGTACCTACTTCACTGGAATTCTGTGCGGAGTAAACAGCACCTGGCACTTAATATCGCAGTAAGCGTCGGCTGCTGTGATTTGCAGAGCGTGCGCCGTGTGTCGGTGTGTGGATGTGACGGTTGCTGTTGTGCTCCCTCCCCACCCCTTGGTGCTCGCCGTCCCTGCACGTGCCGACAGCGTCCTGCTGCATCTGACGTGCGCGGGAGTGTTTTCTCCGTCTGCAGGAGCGTGTTCAGCCTGCGCACGGGGAGGTGGGGGAGGAGGTGCTGGGAGGGAACGCTCCCAGGAGCAGCCGTCAACCATAGATGGCCAGAATTTGGCAGACAAATGCCCCAGCTTGCTTGCCTCCCAGCGGAGACACTGGGACAATCCCACGCTGTCTTCAGGGGTCCCCGTCAGAATGGAGCTCTGGAGGCTCACAGTGGTAGCCTTCTCATGAACCCACTCCGTACTGGCTTCCTCCTCTGTGTCACTTCCTCGCTCTCCTTCCAGAACTTTCTGGGATCCCCTATCAGGTAAACTACTTTCATTCTCATCCTGTCTCAGGGCTTACTTTCTAAGACAACAGGGCATTTCATTTAATCTTCACACAGTCCTAGGATGTGAACAGAAATAGCTCCCCCATTTTATGGTTGAACAAAATGAGGCTCAGAAAGGTGATGCCACCTGCTCAAGGTCAAAGCCCGGGGCCCTCACCTGCTCCATTGCCTCCCCGAGAACAAGCGCAACGGGCCCTGTCCCCGGGCCTTCTTGCCCTGTGCCCCCAAGCTCGGCTGCCTGAGTCCGCCTCTCCCCTGCAGGAAGGCCGCTGCCTGTTTGTCATCCTGCTCATGGTGGTGTACTGGTGCACGGAGGCCCTGCCCCTCTCGGTGACGGCCCTGCTGCCCATCGTCCTCTTCCCCTTCATGGGCATCCTGCCCTCCAGCAAGGTCTGCCCCCAGTACTTCCTCGACACCAACTTCCTCTTCCTCAGCGGTCTGATCATGGCCAGCGCCATCGAGGAGTGGAACCTGCACCGCAGAATCGCCCTCAAGGTCCTGATGCTTATTGGGGTGCAGCCGGCCAGGTAAGGCCAGGTAACGGGTCCAGCCCTGCAGCGGGGAGGCAGAGGGACCACAGCTCGCAGCTCAAACCTGTTCTCTTTGGTTTAGCCAACCGGCCCAAGAAACTCATCGTTTCCCACCCTCCATGCACTTATTCATCCCTCAATATTTAGCGAGCAGCCCTTGTGTGCCAGGCACGGTGCTAGGCACGTGGGCAGTTGCTCTCAAAGGTGTATAAGAATCACCTGGGATGAGGGTCAAAAGGCTGCTCTGGGAAATGACTTACCTCTCTCTGCCTGTGACATGGTGACGCCGCAGCACCTGCTTCACATGGAGTTACTGTGAGGACTCAATGAGTGAATGCAGAGGATTGGGTGGCCTTTAAAATAGGGATGTCGTTCAGTCTTTTTTTTCCTTCCATGAACCCCTTTGGCAATTTGGTGAATCTTAAGGATCTGCCCAGAATATTGTGTTTAAATGCATAAAGCATACTACACAGGATTTGAAACAAGAGTAACTACAGCAAAATGCAGTTATCCAAATAATTTTTTTAAAAAATAATACACACACATTTTTGCTCCAGCATGCTATGTGCTCCTTTATGGACACAACAGATGACAAGAACTAGGGATGGGCCTAATCGCAACCATAATTTTGTGGCAGTTTTGAGTGTTAATGCTATTTCCAGACATCTGCGACTACCATAATGTGATCTCTTTTGGGGGCAAAGTCTCAGGCGCTGCTCACACAACTGAACTTTGTTGGCTGTTTATCATTGAAGGAAACTCTCAATTTTGGTTAGATGTTAGCAAAATGAAGATGCAAAATTTTTTCCCCCAATTCAGTCCTGAACTATGTCCATGGACTTACTTTTTACTCTGCTATAAAAGATTCTGACTCTGCTATAAAAGATTCTGACTCTGCTATAAAAGATTCTGAGCTGGGGAGTGACATGGCCAGATGTGCATTGTTCAAAGGTTCCTCCTGGCTGCCTCACAGAGACCAGAGGGGTGGGGCAGGTGTGAGAAGCTGGCACAGCCAGTTAGGAAGCTGCTTCGGGTGTCCTGGCAAGAGACGATGGCAGCTTGGACTAGGGGGTGGCAGTGGAGATGAACAGAACGGCTAGATTTGAGAGCTCTTTGGGTGGTAAAATTGATGTGGGCGAGGGGGTAGGAGAAGAAGGTTCCAGCATCTACCCTGTGCCAGGCACTCCGCTGGGCTCTGTAGTTGTGTTTCCTCACGGAGGAGCTGTCGGGAGGACCTATAGATGTCCCACCTGTAGATGGGACAGGTCCCATCTACAAAACTGAGCCCACGCCTAGAGGAATTTGATCCCTGGGGTCACATCATGTTGTAGGAGCCCCATAAGAGGTAGAGGAAGGGAGGGGACTTCCGGAAGGAGATTCCATGTGAGTTTCACTTTCAAGAATGGGTGGGGCCCTTCTCAAACATAAAGTACAATGATGAAAGCGGTAAGACGCCAGCTCAGAAACAGGTTTGAAAGCACAGAATAAATAACCTGGAAGAAATTCACACCAGTGGAAAAGGGAAGAATTACCTAATAAATGGTGGGAGTTGGGACGATTAGTTCATTCTAAGAAAAAAAAATCTATTTACATCTCACTTCGAACCACACATCCAGATCAATCCCGGAGTCCAATATGAAGGGAAAAGTCATGACACTTAGAGTCTGTTGGTGGGAACGGACCAAGCAGGGGCGGGGGTGGGGGCACTTCAGGCGCGCTGGGTGCTGGCGAGGAGTTCAGTGGAGTCTGAGCTGTGGGCGGCTGGTGGGATGGAGGGGATGGGTGGGGGGAGTCTGGGAAGGCCATTGGGGCAGGACGGTGGAGGGTCTTGGTGCCCGGGCAATGTTATTCTGAGATGGGTGCCATCAAGGATTTGGGGATAAAGGGAATAAAATGTCCTGCCTGGTATGTCTTTAGAACCTCGGGGACCTTTGGTCAGTTAACCCTAATGTATTGAGCCACAGTTTTCTTAGATCTAAATAACCTGGTGAGTGGATTTGGACCCTGCTTTGCCACTGACTTGCCCTCTCTGAGTCTCAACTTTCCACCTGTGAAGTGGATGACTTGGATTCCTCAGGGATGGATGGCAAAGTGGGACCAGAGCAGCTCCTGGGCCCCGGGTTCTGGATCTGCCTCTAACCCCTCTGCTCCGCAGGCTCATCCTGGGGATGATGGTGACCACCTCGTTCCTGTCCATGTGGCTGAGCAATGCCGCCTCCACCGCCATGATGCTGCCCATAGCCAATGCCATCCAGAAGAGTCTCTTTGGCCAGAAGGAGGTTGGAAAGGACCAGGAGAGTGAAGCAAACATAGGTGAGGCTGTGCAAAGGTATTGGGGCTGACTTCACCAGAGTGGGGGAGTGGGAGCAGAGATGCCCAGAGGATGTCAGGCAGGTCAAGAACATGCACACTTATTGAGCACCTACTAAGTGCCAGGTGTTTTAATAATATACTATTAATAACTGAGAATTAGATAACTTAAATCATGGTAACTTGGTTTTAAAAAATTTATACTTATTGCTGGGCACGGTGGCTCAGGCTTGTAATACCAGCACTTTGGGAGGCCAAGGTGGGAGGATCACTTGATGCCAGGAGTTTGAGACCAGCCTGGGCAACATAGTGAGACCCCATCTCTACAAAACATTTTTTAAAACTTAGGTGGGCATGGTGGTGTGTGCCTGTTGTCCTAGTTACTTGGAAGGCTGAGGTGGGAGGAACATTTGAACTTAGGAGTGGAGGCTGCAGTGATCACGCCACTGGATTCCAGCCTGGGCAACTGAGTGAGACTCTGTTTCTGTAAAAATAAATAAATAAATAAAAATTTTTAAATTGCATTTATTGAGCACTGAGTGCTTACTAAACCTCCGGAGCGAAGTAGGTAGTATAATTAAATCTTGTTTTAAAGCATTTGAAGAGATGCTCAGCTTCGCTATTGCCCAGAGAAATGCAAATTTAAACCATGAGGTTTAAATCAATGAGACGGGCAAACATAAGAAAGCGGGACAATACTCATGTTGGCAGGACCGGGGCCGTGGGAACTCTTGTGTGCTGCTAGAAAGAGGGTGTACCGGGCCAGCCTTTCTTAAGAGCCTTCTGCAAGAATTCAATCAGATTAAATGTGTATTTACCCTGCAACCCAGTGCTTCTGCTCCTGGATGCAAATGCTGAAGGGGTTCCCACGCAGGCCCGGGAGGGGCACACATGGCGTTATTCTCGGCGGCGTTCCCTGTGCTGCAGGGAGTCGGTGGCCGCGTGGGCTTCATCGCTAGCACGGGCGTGGGCACAAGCGGGGGGTGCACACCACGGAGCGCTGTGCTGCTTTCTAGAGAGAAGGATTAGTGAACCGTATGGTTGTATAAAGGCATTGCACAAAACAGTTACGACTGGGGGGAAAACAGAATGGGATATAGAGCACAATTCTGATATGCAAACTGAATGATGAAACATTGTATAACAACATCAACAAATGAAAAGCTACACATTAAACACATGAGAATGGTTGCTGTGGGAAGGGTGGGAGTGGGGAATGGGGGTGGAAGGGACTGGAAAAAACAGTCAGCAAATCAAATAGAAGAGGGTCCTCGTGCAGCACGTACTGATGACGTGCCGTGGACTGAGGGATCTGAGTCCCTCGACCCCTTGAAATTGTGTTCTTAACAAAACATGAGCAGTCACTGTCTTCTTTCTTTCTTTCTTTCTTTCTTTCTTTCTTTCTTTCTTTCTTTCTTTCTTTCTTTCTTTCTTTCTTTCTTTCTTTCTTTCTTTCTTTCTCTCTTTCTTTCTTTCTTTCTTTCCAGAGTCTCACTCTGTTGCCCAGGCTAGAGTGAGTGCTGTGGCATCAGCCTAGCTCACAGCAACCTCAAACTTCTGGGCTCAAGCGATCCTCCTGCCTCAGCCTCCCAAGTAGCTGGGATTACAGGCATGTGCCACCATGCCCGGCTAATTTTTTCTGTATATTTTTAGTTGTCCAGCTAATTTCTTTCTATTTTTAGTAGAGATGGGGTCTCGCTCTTGCTCAGGCTGGTCTCGAACTCCTGAGCTCAAACGATTCTCCCGCCTCAGCCTCCCAGAGTGCTAGGATTATAGGTGTGAGCCACTGCGCCAGGCCCAGTCGCTGTGTTTCTGGATGACTATATAAAGGCTCAGACAAGGGAAACAACTCTCCCAAATCACACAGCAGAGCCAGAGAAAGGCAGTTCCAGGGTCAGTTCAGAAGCACAGTGACGTCAGGACTTTCGTTGGCAACTCCTTATTCCCTTGGTCTTTCTCTCATAGTTGCAAATTGGCTGCCACATCCACTTTTAAACGCCTTATTTTTTATTTACATAAATATATTTTAAAAGGAAGCTTTAAGTTGATACATACGTGGGCAGAAGTTGCTAGGTTAACACCAGCACCCAGTCTTCCTTTGTTCTTTTAGTAACAGAACCACACGCAGGCACATGGCTATGCAGAGGAAAGGCTGAATTTCCCAGCTTCCCTTGCGATCAGATGTGGTCAGGTGACTAGGTCTGGCCAATGGGATACAAGTGGGAATGATACGTGCCATTTCTGGCTTCTGCCCTCCCTGCTTTCCACTTCCTGCTGGGTGGAATGTGAATATGATGGTGGCAGCAAGAGGTGTCACCTGAGACTCAAAGACAGAAGCCACATCTTGAGAGATAGGTGGCAGTAGCTTTGCCACCTAGTATCTTTCCCAGTAGCTTTGGATCATTTACCCCAACTACCACAACAAGCATTATCCATGGGACCATGAGTTTGTATGATAGTTACATTTTTTAATTATGCAATTGAAAGAAATATGTATCTGTTAAATGTGAAGGTTGATCCCTGTACCATCTAAGTTAGTCTCACTTACCGACACTGGTATGAGTATTTGCCCATCATGCACTATGGAGTCCTGCTTATTTTATTTCCATGACAGCCTGGAAGCTGGAAATGATTATAAGTATATACAGATGGGGTTCAGAGAGGTGGGGCGATGTGAATCGCACTGTTGGTAGTATGGCACAGCCCGGTCTGTGCGAGGGCAAATGCTTCCACACGGAAGGGAAGAGAGGCTGTAAGTGAGACCCACTTTCAGGGCAGTGTCTCTGGTATTTTGAATCCAGGCTGGCTGACTTCAGAGCCTGTACTCTTTCTCCCACGTGAGATTTTTTTTCAAAGTGGCCAAACAAATGTTTGAAAGCTAAGTCCCTCCTTATAAGGATAAAAACCCTGAGACCCAGTAAGGGGAAGGGACTTGCCCAGGGTCACATTCAGTGAAATAGAGAATCTTTCCCCCTGTGCTGTGGGACGTCAGGAGGCAGGGGCCCTGGGGGCTGGGCAGACACCTACTTTCGCAGGCCATGGGATCAGAGAGCAGGAAGCAGTTAATGATTAGCCTCTAAGAGCTAAAACAAGGCTAATTCCAGTGCAACGAGAAATATTCCCTTTTATCCAGCTTCTGTGTTTTGACCAGGAGTTAGGAGGTGAGGACAGGGGTAGAAGGAGTGGAAATTCTGTTAGTGGCCAGGAGAGGGACAAGGAGGCTCCTAGGAGCCTTGTGTTCAAAGGGGACATCTAAGCAGCAACAACGATGGCCATGCAAGCTCTAATTTTCTGAAGAACCACCCTACGTCAGACACTGTGTTAAATTTTTCATGCCCATTAGCTCATTTAATCTTCACTACTGCACTAGGAAGTAGTGGCCCCCATTTTACAGATGAGGAGACTGAGGCTCAGGGAGGCAAAACGATTTGCACAAAATAACATGATGAGTTAGTTGCTGAGCTCTGTTTGAATCCAGAACCTGTGCCTATGAGCACTGTGCCGTGGGGCCTGGTACAGAGGGGCCAGGATCTCGGGCAGGGTGGGGCTCACAGGACAAGACCCCAGGGATTCTCACTGCCCAGTTCCTTTACCCAGTTCTGTGCCCTCCACTGCCTGGGGGACCTTGGGGCCATGTGAGTGGTGGCTTCCCCAGCGTCCTACTGCATGCACGCTCTCAGCCCAGCAGGGGACGATCTGTTAGCATCCCCATTTTACAGAGGGGAAAACTGATGCTCAAAGTGGTGATTTGCCCAATGTCCCTCTGCCAGTAAAGGGATCCACCTGGCTTTTGAATCTAAACTCTTTCCCTTTCTTTTCTCTGCCCGGAGGAGACTAGCTGGCCACTCACGACTTTCCTTGGGAGTGCCCAAGACAGCACCCTTCACAAAGCATGGCTTTCAGGTGGGGTGGAGCATGGCACCCTGCAGTCTTCATTCACTAATACTGCCCCACCTCCTGAGACCTTTCCCATCTATAAAATAAGGACAAAGCTCCCATTTTGGGTATGCTGTTGTGACATGTTAGGAACGACAGCCAGGTCCCTAGGAAGTGGCTCACATGTGGCCGTTGTATGCAGACCGCTGTAAGATCTCCAGGGATGGGAGGAGCGGGCGGGAAGGCCCTCCGATCTGATGCCCACCGACGTTCCCTGCTCCTACCCGAGAGGGACGTCACTGTCTGCTTACGGTCTGTCTCCTCCGCAGACTGCGAGCTGCGCGAGGGAGTGTCAGTCTTTCTCCCCGCTGTGAACAATTGTCACTGGTGCAGTCTGGTCACCTAGGACACCACTGAGCACATAGTAGGTGATCAATACATGTGTGGAACTAATGAATAAATGAATAGATGGACCATCTGATGAACTGTTCTGAGCCTCAGTTTCCTTATACCTAAAATGGGGACAAGAATCCTTACTGCCTGGGCTGTCGGGAGTGCTAAATGCATTAGGGGACGTAAACCTGCCTCGCTTTTGACCTTCCCTGGGATGCTCCTCATCTAATCTGACATAAGAGCTCCTCCTTGGCCTTCTGCACATTGAACTTTAGGAACATTTCAGTCATGCTAGGGAGGCTCGATCGGAGCGATCAGCTCCACGTCAGGCCCACTAAGTTCTCAGGGTGTGCGTGGGAGACAGAGTGCGATGCAAGGGGTGGGGTTCACCGGTCCCGGGTACACGCCTGACTCTGCCACTGACCCACTGGGTCTCCTGGCTCCCAACCTTAACCAGCCTCTGCAGGCCTCAGTTTCCCCAGGTATAAGGAAGAAGGTAATAAACCTTGCCTAGCTTTCCAAGGCTGCTCCAAGGCTGCCATAAGATTTCAAATGTGAAAGTTCTCTGTCCTCAGTCCCGACACAAATGCAAGACGGGCATTATTTGAATGAGACCTTACCTAAGCACCAGGCTCCTCAGTGACCAGCGATTTCTGGACCCAGAGAAGTCTCTTGCAAGACTTTGCTCCAGTGGCCTTCTCCACGTGGTTTTTTGGGCTACTGTGGTCACAAGAAGCTGTGGTCACAGGTTGGATCCCGGGTAAATGGTTAAGAGCGCTCAGCACCTTGGCTTTCCTATTTTTTTAAATCTCGTCTTCATTGACTTAATCACAATCATTATCGTTATTAGAAAAATAATGCCCAGTGTAAAATGTTTTGACATTACTCATCTGCATAAGGAAAAAGTGAAGCTCCCTCCCCCCTCCCTAATTAGCTCAAGCTAATTACTGTTTGCAGCTCTGTGTAGACGCCCTCCTCTGTGTATTAATAGCACGCATGGCCTTCCATCGGGGCTGTCCAGCTCAGATGCTGGCAGCGAGTGTCTGGGCTCCACGAATGAGTGACAGGGTCCTGTGGGGACCGTGGCACACTGGCGAGCACATGCCCTCGCCTCCAAGCACACAGGCAGCCACCGGAGCCTTCGTTTCCCTATCTGTCGCTTCAGACGAATTGCCCTCAACCCTGGCTGCATAAAGGAATCACCTGCATGACTTTTTTAAAAATACTGAGACCCCAGCCCCACTCCAGAACCCTTAAACCAGATCCTCTGGGGTGGGACCCTCGGGGAGTTCTAGCGTCCAGCCGGGCTGGGGAGGACGGCGGTGGAGCACGCCTGAGGCGCTGGCGAGCTCTGCGGACATGTGGTGCTGCAGGATGACTAAGGTCCCGGCCCCGGTGAGAAGAGCACAGAATGAGCTAGATGGCGGGGTTGGGTGTCACCGGATCAGAGTTCTTTCTGCCTGGCCATCCCCTGCAGAGTAACTTTCCCCCCACCCTAGTGTGCTATTAACAGCCCTTCAATCCCTGCTTCAGCGCCCTGGGCCCCAGCCTCGTGCATGGCTTGTGGACGTGTGTTCCCGCACGCAAGCCCCAAGACCCTTGTCCTCACGGCCCAAGGTGAGCTGACCTGACTTTCAGCCTTGGGTCCCTGCTGGTGGTCAGCAGGGCCAGCCTTGGGCACAGTGAAGACGACACAATTAGCCACCCTGGAATCCTGCTCCCCGATGGTACCAACAGGGAGGGAGCTGCCGGGGTGGGGAAGGGACACCCCAAGTCACCAGGCCACACAAGGAGAGAGCCAAGGCAGGACTCCCATCCTCAGCTCCCGGTCCACAGGGCTGATCTGTGGCCTGCTGTTCATGTAAAGGAAAAGCCCAAGTAAAAAGAAAAAAATCAAGGTATTTTTTTCCTGCTGGAGTTCCTTTAGGCGCCAGTGGCCGTCAACCCACACACCTGTAGTCAAACAAGCTGATCTGCTGTTCCTCGCAGCAGTGAGGGGCGCATGCGCCACGCGCTACCCTGCGCATCTCAGCAGGAGGGCGCGGAAAAGAACCCGTGAGAGGACTGGGCTTGAGGCTGGGCACTGTCAGAAGCCAGAAGGCGTTTCTACGCCTGGGTAAAAGAGCAGTCACTCATTTAGCAAGTTTGTGGACAGCACAGTGACCGCCCCGAGACAAGATTATGAAATGGACGGGCTTTGTCTCATTTTGTCATAGTCTCAGAGTGACTTTGTCTGGGGTCAGCGTTCTGTTAGATTGTTGACATCCAGCGGGAAAACAACATGGCCTAGTGCTGGGGGTCAGGCCAGTTCCTGATGTCAGGGGCTGCTGTTTTATTGTTTCTCAAGAGTAACCTGCATTTATTGAATCCTTGCTCCTACTTAGCTTTCTGTTAAATTCTTCACATGCTTTGGCAAACCATGGCCTACCAAATACTGCCTGCTGCCTTTTTTTTTCTTTCTTTCTACTTTATTTTTGTAGCAGGGGGTGTGGTGGCAGTCAGGGTCTTGCTCTGTTGCCCAGGCTAGAGAGCAGTGGTGTCATTGTAGCTCACTGCAACCTCAAACTCCTGGACTCGAGTGATCCTCCCACCTCAGCCTCCCGAGTAGCTGGGACTACAGGTGTGCACCACTATGTCCAGCTAACTTTCCTATTTTTTGTAGAGATGGGGTCTTTCTGTGTTGTTCAGGCTGGTCTCAAACTCCTGAGCTCCAGTGATCCTCCCGCCTCAGCCCCCCAAAGTGTTAGGATTACAGGTGTGAGCCACTGCACCTGCTTTTTGTGCAGCCTGTGAGCTAAGAATAGTTGTTCTGTATTTTGGAATGGTTGAAATAAACCAAAAGAAGAACAATATGTTGTGATGTGAAAATTGTACAGGTGTGGCAGAGGAGAGTTGTTACAATGGGGATGGAATGGTCCCCAAAGCCTGAAATATTTACTCTCTGGCTTTTTACAGACGTTTGCTGGTCCCTGCTTTAAATGGGTCAACTTCCTAATCCTCTTGACAATCCTAGGAGAATTGTTACTTCCATTTTGTAATTTAAAGACCCGAGGTACAGGGATATTATGGGGTATCTGTGAGCCAGGGCTCCTCAACTTCCGCATTGCTGCTGTTCGGGTGTGACAGTTGTTGGTCGGAGTGCGCTGGCCTGTGTACTGGGGGATGTTTAGCAGCATTTCTGGCCTGTAACCAATAGATACCAGGAGCAGCAGCACCCCCAGCCCCAGTTGTGACAACCAAAATTGCCTCCAGACGTTGCCCAACATCCCTTAGAAGAAGAATTGGCCCCAGTTGGCAACCACTGACCTAAGGTCACATAGCAAGTGATAGAGCAGGACCCGAACCCGGGACTCACTTGATTAGCCACCAGCCACAGACCCAACTCCCAGGGCGGGGTTGTTTTGCCACTGATGGTGGCACCGGCTGCAGGGACTTTTCATTCATTCTTTTATGTATTTATTCTTGGTTTCCAAAACACTGTCAAGGGCTCCTGGGGAGTCTGGTCTATCAAGCAAAAGATACTCTAAAAATGAAGTCAGATCCTTTCCTGACCCACTCTTCTGCTCAAATGCTACCCTGGCTCCTGTCTGACTCAGAGGAGAAGGCAAAGTCCTTGCTCTGAGCTCGGGGACCCCTGCAGAGCCAGCCCCCTTCTTGCCACCCCCACCCCCTGCGCTCCTCTCACCTCACTTCCTCTCTCTCCCCTCCTCCCTCAGACCCCGCCAGCCCCTGGTCTCCCCTCTGCTCCCCAGCACACTCCCCAGCATTGCCACCCAGGGCCTTTGCCCGTGCTCTTCCTTGCTCCAGATATTTGCGTGGCTCACCGCTCACCTTCTTCAAGTCTCTGTTCGATGTCAGACTGCCCTTGAGCCTTGCAAAAGGTGTCTCACCCCCAAACACCTGTTTTTCTTTTTCTCCATGACACCCGCTTTCATCCGACACACTGTGTATCATGCTTAGCCATCTGCGCTGTGTCTCCCCACCACAAGATCAGCTCCGTGAGGACATGGACTTTCAACCTTTGTCACTCAGCGCCCGGCACATAAGAGGTGCTCCACAGGAGTTTACTGGTGGATTGATTGGTTCAGGGTTCACGTGCCTGAGTTCTGGCCCTGGGTTCCAAGTTGCACTGAGCTCTTATCTCAAAACAAGAACGGCAACACTTCTACAACTTACTGTCATCTGTGGTCACCAGCCTGGTCCAGCCACCATCATCTGACCTGGAAAGTGCAATAGATACCGAGTGGGGCTCCTGGTTTCCATTTCTGCCATCTCAGCCTCTGCGGCCCATTCTCTCCAACCAAGCCCGGGGATGTTTGCAAAATGTTAATCACATCACCCCTCTTGGGCTAGATCCTGCAGTGGATCCCCATCCCTGACATGGCTCCTGTTAACCTTTGCCCACCCTGTCCCCAACCCCCATCTCCCCTTGGCCTTTCCTACTCACTACTTTCCCAGCACACTGGACTTCCTTGGTTCCTCAACTCTGCCAAGCTTCTCCCTACCACAGGGCCTTTGCACTTGCTGTTCCTGTTTCCTAGAACCCTCTTCCCATGGCTCTTCATATGACTGGCTCCTTCTCATCCTTGAGATGTCCAATCAAATGCCATGGCACGAGGTGTCTTTTCTGTTGACCTGACCACAGTGGTCCACCTGTTCCCCTCCCCATTTTCCAGTCACTTTCCATCACATTGCCCAATTTGATTTCCTCCATACATTCATCACTACCTGAAATTGTCTTTATTCATTTATTGTCTGTCTGTCTTTCTAGAATATATGATCTCCATGGGAGCCAGGGACCTTGTTCTATATTGTTCACTGAGTATGCTGAGCTCATAGTCAACAGCATATAGTAGGTGCTCAATAAACACTTTTTGGATGAATGAAAGAATGAATGGACTATGGAGCCACCTGAGCCACTGCTGACCCATTACCACTGATAGCTGTTCTTTCCCAATATCCCCATGGCAGTGGCTACTCAGGCAAGCCTGGGCCTGAGTTATGGGTTGTCAAACAGCCTTGAAGCTAATTCCCTGCCCACAGGCCTGGGCCATCTCCAAATATGGGTGGTGGGACAGGAGGATGGAATGTTGAGTGCCCTCTCTCTCTCCTTCTCTCTCTCTTTTTCTTTTGATTCACTGAATAGTATAGGGTCCTTGGCAATGAAGAAGCAGTGGTGACTGACTACACAGGAATTGGGACACTCCTGCCCCATTCGCTACGTTTCACTAAAGACATCCTGCTCTTTCCTCCTAGCTGCTGTGCGGAGAAACGGCCTACACACTGTGCCCACGGAGAGGCAATTTCTCGCCAGCTCAGAAGAGTAAGTTCCTGGTGAATTTCGTAGAGGGGCCGGTGCTTGACTCAATGATAAGCGAGAATCCAACGCTGCCAACAATTCCCCTCCCAACCCCAGATGTTTCTCCAAATGACCTCATGCCCAAGTTTCTACCCCCAAGGCTTAAACATGGAGCTCAAGAACCTCCTTTTAAAAAATGCCAGTGTGAAAAGGGCAGGGAAGCAGATCAAATCCCTAAAAGTCTGGTGGGGCTGAGGGTCTTGAGAGCTTTCCCCCTGAAAGGAGGGGCCCAGAAGGGTGGGGAGCGAGAACCGCACAGGTCGAGGACGGGAGGGAGGAGGCGGGGTCTGGAGGCTCTTAGAACAAAAAAACACTCTATGAAACAGTAGCAGCCCTTCGAACTAACATGATTTGGAAAGCATCTTCAAATGGACGTCCCATTTAGTCTTCAGTATCCTTTGCATTATGGGACAGTGGTTAAGATCATGCGGTTTGGAGTCACGCAGACCTGACTTGGAACTGGTTCTGCCACTTGCTGGCCACGTGACTTGCACGAGTCATTTAACCTCTCTGAGCCTCAGTTGGTCTTCGCCTACCAACTCGACATGATATTGGAAGCCACCTTATGGGGTCGCCTTGAGATTATCGGAGAGAACGTCGCCAGAGCAGGTCGGCCGGGCCTTGCACCGACAGCACCTGTTGTTAGGGCATTGCCATTTTGACTTAACGGTGAGGAAATAGCAGGAAGGAAAGCGATTTGCTCAAGGCAGTGCTGGGTGTTAATCGGGTCTATCTGACTCAGGGAACAGATATTTATCGAGAGCTTGCGATGAGCCAGACACTGGCTTAGGGGCAGGGGTACAGCAAGGAACAAAAGTGCCAACCCTTAGGGAGCTTGCATTCTGAGGGCAAGAAGCAGATGCATGAACACAGCGTGTCGGTGGGTTGCTGAGCCTGTGAGGGAGAAAAGGGCAGGAAAGAGGGCGAGGGAGGTGGGCTGGGGGTGGTCGGGGAAGGCCCCGCCAAGGTCGTGTTGGAGCAAACCCCTGCGGGAGGCAAGGGCTCACAGGGGTGGCTGAGGGAAGAGTGTTCTCAGCAGAGGGACCAGCGTGTGCCAAGCTCCCGAGAGTCCAAAGAGCAGCCAGGAAGCCAGGGGGGCTGGAGCTGAGTGAGCGGGTGAGCGCATGGTCGGAGGTGAGGCCCGAGAGGCTGCTCGGCTGGTGGGAGTGTGAGGGTAGAGGGACAGAGCTCGTACGTAGCCTTGACCTTGAATGAGATGGGAGCCAGTGGAGAGTTTTAGCAGAGGAGGGACATGACCTTACGTCTGCTTTATCCCACAGTCTATGCTCCTTCCTGGCACCCTCCCTGGGGCCTTTCAGTCCAACTTTGAGACGTGGGTTCTGTGATTGGACCAGCCACTCATCACCACGCAACCTGGGGATATGTTTTAAGCAGCTGTCCAGGCAGAACTTGTGCTGGGTCAGCTGGAAAAGACCCAGTCCTCACCCTCTGGAAGTCCACGTCCATTGGATGCAAACCCCTTTCCCTCTCTGGGCCTCAGTTTCCCCGTCCGAACAAAGAATAGGTTGCACTAGACAAACCGTAGGGCCCTTTCTTCTCTCTTATTCTCCTGCTGATACTCAATACGTTCAGAGTCCCCAGGTCTGACCAAGAATGTCACCCCTGAGAAGTCAGCTCCTGACACTGGTTTCCAGCCACCTCTGGTCTTTGCCTTCCTGTCACACTAGGGACCAACTACTCAGACCCCAGGTCATGTCCCCATTGCCTCTGGGGAGGAAGCCCCTATGTAGTAACTAAGGGCAGAATGTATTTGAATTATATTTCATTCTTTAAAAAAGAAAAATTTTTAATTGTAATTTAAAAAATAAAATTTTTTAAAAATTTAAAAAGTTTACCTTATTATGCAGGAACATATACTCCACTAAGTGAAATAGCAAGTTATAAAACAGCATATAATGGAGTATAGTGAACATCTTTTCAGCTCAATAAATGTAGGTCAACATCATGATCTTTTAATTATATAATTAATAATTCTTAATTTCATACTTTCCCAAAACTCTTTAACTGTCTAAGGAAAATAACCCAGAAAACACTAATAAGGAATAAAAAAAAATCTGTAATTCCACCCCCAAGAAAGGCACCCAAACAACTTTGTATATACCACTCTAGACTCTTTAAATAATCATCTATTCATGAGTTTTTCTAAAAGAAAAATCTAAATAATACCATTACCTGCCTTTTCATTTCAGTTTGTATTGTGGCTAGCTGTTATCTTAATAAATGCCACCTAATCATCACAGCTGTGCTAGTGCTCCCTGCAGAAAAAGGATCATCTTTATTATCAATCCCCTTTTGTTTTGTTTTGTTTTGTTTTGTTTTTGAGACAGAGTCTCACTCTCTTGCCCAGGCTAGAGTGCTGTGGCGTCAGCCTAGCTCACAGCAACCTCAAACTCCTGGGCTCAAGCAATCCTTCTGCCTCAGCCGCCCAAGTAGCTGGGACTACAGGCATGCACCACTGTGCACGGCTAATTTTTTCTGTTTTTAGTTGTTTGGCTAATTTCTTTCTATTTATAGTAGAGATGGGGGTCTCGCTCTTGCTCAGGCTGGTCTCGAACTCCTGAGCTCAAGCGATCCTCCCACCTCGTCCTCCCAGAGTGCTAGGATTACAGGTGTGAGCCACCGGGCTCGGCCTCAATCCCTTTTTGATGAACATTTAGATTGCTTTTACTCTCGATTATATTGAATGCCATGTGGAACTCCCTACACTTGAGGCATTTATCTATTTCTTTACGGCAAATTCTTAGAGTAGACTATCTGAGCTGAAGGGATGCACATTTTCTGAAGGTTTTTGCTACCTGTGCCAAATCGCCTTCCAGAAAAATCCCTTAGCTCTCCCAAACCCCGGGCAGCGTGTGGCGGCTTCTCCGTGTGTCCTGAACGGCTTCTCTTTGGGTTTGTTTAAAGCAAAGGCCACCCTGAGGAGGTGGAGGCTCCGATGGACCTGCTGGCGGACTCCAAGAAAGAGGAGGAATATCGCAGCAACATCTGGAAGGGCTTCCTCATCTCCATCCCCTACGCGGCCAGCATAGGGGGCACCGCCACCCTCACGGGCACGGCCGCCAACCTCATCCTGCTTGGCCAGCTCAAGAGGTAACAGCAAGTGTCCCTCGCCCCCCGTACCCGGGCTTCTGCCCCGTGTCCCCTTCCGCCCTTCCTCACTGAACATCCAGGGGACGTGTCTTGAGGGCCTTCCACTGGCCGGGTTCCGGGGACACAGCGGTGCGCAAGACCCAGCGAAACGCCTGCCCTTGGGAGCGTCCATGCTGGCGAGGGGGACAGGCAGTGCGTGGGAAAGCAAATGCGTGGACCACTTATCTGTGTGGCACGTCAGGGAATTTTAAGTAAGAGGGTGGAAGTGACGAGAGCGGGGCGCTATTTTACATGGGTGACTTGGGTCCGCCCGTCCTCTCTAACAAGGTGCCCGTGTAGACCTGGAAGGGAGGGAGGGAGGGAGGGACGCGGACACAGGGGGAAGAGCGTTCCAGGCAGAGGCAACGGCTCCTGCAAAGGCTTCCAGGTGTGACCGTTCCTGGGGAGGTTGAGGCCAGCGGCATCGAGGGACCCCAGCGTTTCCTCCTGGTGAGCTGGGGACCCGCTGCAGAGGCGAGAGCAGAGCTGCACCCAGCTGGAGGCGGTGGTCTGTGGCTGTCCTGCCCTGGGGAAGTAGAGTGAGCTCTGGGGGGAGGTGGCCTCCCCACCACTGAAAGTGCTCAGCAGCGTGACTGGGTGGCTGGGAGTCGGGGCATAAGAATGAAAGAGAAGATTCCATGGCTGCACGACCTGTCCATTCCATGATTCCAAACCTCTGCTTTCCAGGATTTTAAATATTCAGTATTTTTGCAATTCTGTCTCTTAAGATTTTCAGATTCCAGGATCTAAGGGGGTAGGTCCCTAAGATTCCTTCACAGTGGGGAACACATCATATGTTCATTCAATTTACAGAAATGCAAATGTAGGCCACATGCAGTGGCTCATGCCTGTAATTCCAGCACCTTGGGAGGCCATGGCGGGAAGATCACTTGAGGGCAGGAGTTCAAGACCAGTCTGGGCAAAATAGTGAGACCCTCTCTCTATTAAAAAAAAAAAAAATTAATTAATTAAAAATAAATAAAGAGACCCTGTTTCTACAAAAAATAAATAAATTAAAAATAAATAAATAAATAATGCAAATGTAAGCATTTGGCAAACAAAGGGCAACACGAAGTATTTGATATTCAGCATGGCTCCAAAGCTGGCCAACTTCTTGACCTGGTGCTCAACCAGAGAATCAAAACCTGTGAGGATGATGAGGGAAGGCTGGCTCTGGTGGCCTTCCTGGGAGAGGTTTGTATACCCCCGCAATCTTCAGGACTATGCTTGTGAGTGATCGAAGTGATTAATACCTTCATAGGAAATTTTCAGTACACCCATCTCCGGCTTCATAGAGTTTATTAATATTTTCATTTGTTTGCTTATTTATTATGCAATAATAATAAATGATATTATTTACTATTGCATAATGAATGCCATGTAAATAAACCAATGATATTTTGGTTTATTTATGGAGAAATGTCTGCGAATAAGTTGTGTTCATATACTTCTGTACACATCACTGTGTAACTTCCTTTTACCCTTTTATATCTAGCACCTTCATTCCTGACTACATTTCTTTCTTTTTTTTTTTTTAAGATATATTTTTAGTAGTGGAATTTCTGGGTATGAGGGCAATGCACACTTTTAAGACTCTTAATGCATTTTTCAAAATTCCTCTCCAGAAAAGATTATTCCAATGAACAGTCATCAGGAGTCTGCCTATTTTCCCACATCATCACCAGCACTGAGTGTTATTGCTCTCAATCCTTTCAGGCTTGATGAGGTCTTAACAAAACTGAGTTTGGGCACTGTTTAGTAGAAAAAGAGCTCGTGGACATCATCAGTGTTGGGGACTAACATTTAGGGTCCAAAGGGATACATAATGAGTAGAGCAGAGGTTGCAGCTCTCAGATGTGCTTTGTCTGGCTCCCACATTCACAGAAACATAATACATTGCCAATATTTGGATATCACATAATTTCCAGTAAAATCCCACATCTGGGCTTACCAGGGCCTGCACCGGCAGGGGAGCAAATAGCCTCTGGCCCCTTTAATGGGGCGTGCCCGCTGGCATTGCCCACGGCCCAGCCCAGCCCGTTTCACCCACACAGCTGTAGGCTCTGTGGTCCCACGAAGTCAGAATCCCAAAGAAGAGGAAAGGAGCGCTGTCTGTTAGCAGGGATGGAGAGTGCATGTGCCAGGTTTATTAATGAAAGGGTAAAGGGAGGTCCCATGACCCCAGGGGACCCTCTCATTCCCCCTCTCTTGACCCCTGCTGTGGGCGCCCCCACCCCGCCACTTCCCACATCAGCGGGGCTGCCCTCGTTCCGTTCTCATCTCCCTCTGTCTCTAGTTTCTTCCCGCAGTGCGACGTGGTGAATTTCGGCTCCTGGTTCATTTTCGCCTTCCCTCTGATGCTGCTGTTCCTGCTGGCAGGCTGGCTGTGGATCTCCTTCCTGTACGGGGGGATGAGCCTGAGGTACCTGGCCTTCTCTTCCCGGGACGGGGCGTGGGGAAGCAGGGACTCTTGAGCTTTGCAGTCACGCCGAGCAGTGCTGGGTCCCGGCTTCCTGGCTCAGCAGGCAGTGGCCTTCCTAGTCTCAGTCTCCACCTGCAAATGCTGCGGGGGGTTCCTGTCACCTCATGTCACAGCCTCATGTCTTGGCCTCCAGGGACATGAGGATCGGGGGTGTCTATGGCCTGCCGCCACACCCAGGCTCTCAGTTCATGTCCCCGTCATTAACGATTATGAATAGGATTGTCTTTAAATAAGGTAAACACTCATGAGCAGAGGAGAGAGGAGTGCACTGTTCCCCATTTCATGGGGGCCCGGTAGAGAAGATAATTTGGGTGGCATGAAAACAAGGTATTAAAAAAACAACAACAAAAAACAAGGTATTAAATAAGATCAAAACATTGTGAGGCCAGGAACGGTGGCTCACGCCCGTAATCCTAGCTCTCTGGGAGGCGGAGGCAGGCGGACCACTCGAGGTCAGGAGTTCGAAACCAGCCTGAGCAAGAGTGAGATCCCGTCTCTACTATAAATAGAAAGAAATTAATTGGCCAACTGATATATATATAGAAAAAATTAGCCGGGCATGGTGGTGCATGCCTGTAGTCACCTACTCGGAGGCTGAGGCAGGAGGATTGCTTGAGCCCAGGGTGTGAGGTTGCCGTGAGTGAGGCTGACGCCACAGCACTCACTCTAGCCTGGGCAACAAAGTGAGACTCTGTCTCAAAAAAAAACCAAAAAACATATCGTGGGAAGAATGTTTCTTTATCAACTCTCATCAACTCAGCCGGCTTATGTTAAGGAGAAAGTCTCACTTGAGTGCTAGAGAAACTTTGACAGCTCTATGACATTTCTAAATCAGCCTTTTAAAAAAAGAAACAGCAAGCTTCAGGCCCAGAGACTTAAGCCAGTAATGGTGTCTAGCCAAAATATAATAGCAGTGCTTTGCTTTTGTTTGTTTATTTACTTATTATTTTGGTTGGTTTTTTTTTTTTTTTGAGATGGGATCTTGCTGTGTTGTCCAGACTGGTCTTGAATTCCTGGGCTCAAGTGATCCTCCTCCCACCTCAGCCTTCCCAGTGTTTGGGATCACAGGTGTATGCCACCATGCCTGCTGATATATTTATTTTTATGGTTACTTTCTATGTATTACAAGTGATTCTTATTTTCTATTTATGGGACTTATATACATTTCTCTATTTAAATACATTTTTAAAATCAAAATGGTGAGACTTTTTGGAGGAAAACACGAAGCAAGTATAAGATCCAGGTGGTGTGCAGTTGTAGCAACACTTGTGAAGGCAGGTTATGAATGCCTGGAGGTTGAGAAATGCCAAAAGAGGAGACGGGGCTCTGAGCTGGGGATGGGCTGGCAGGCATGTTATAAAGTTGTCCTCTGGCCCAGTCCCCTCCCCTCATCTCTAGCCCTTCATTTTCTCATCTGTAAAATGCGACCAGCAGAAACAACTCTGGAGCAAAGAGATGTGAAAACACTTAGAATAGAGAGACTTCGATGCGATGGTCCTTGACCCAAAGCCTTCCAGGACTCCTGATGGCAGAAACTCAGGGTCCAACGCCCAGCTTGACCCAGAGACGCAAGCCCAGCCTTTGGGTTCAGATGGACCAGAGTTCGAATCATGGTTCTATGTGATATTGAGCAACTCTGGAACCTCCCTGAGCTTTTAATTTCTTTAATTTCTTCACTTGCCGATTGAGGATAAAAACATAGCTAGCCATAGCAGAAGTGAAGCCTAAAGGAGAAAGAGTGTGTAAACTGGGACTGAGCCTGAAACGGAAGCCGTCTGTCTTGTCTGCATGTTTTCGTAGCACCTGTAGCACCTGGCCTCCGAGGAGGCTGTGACGGAGGAAACCCAGGGAGACAGGTGCTTCTGAGTGGGTAACAGAGAAGTTCCAGGCCATTCCCACGACTCCATCTTCACTCAGCGAATATCCGCTGAGCACCTACTATGTGCCTGACACTGTCGTGGGTCTTGAGGAGGCAGCAGTGGCCAAGGCAGAGGTGCTCCCTGCCCTTGGGGAGCTTGTCTTCTAGATGAGGGAGACACACAACGATGACAAGTGGTGATAAATGCCACAAAAGACAAGAAGAGTGCAACGCGAGGTGTGCATGTTCGACTCCCCCAACCTGGGGGTCCATAGGGCTTTCCTGGGAAACTGACTGTTGAACTGGGTGTGCATGAGGAGCAGACTTGACTCAGTAAAGGGAGGGAAGGAGATGGGAATAGAGATCACTCTAGGGAGATAGAACAGGAAGTGCAAAGGCCCTGAGGCCAGAGGTAGCAAGGAATGTTCTGGAACTGAGAGAACGTTAAGTGACTGAGTTCAGGGAGTGTGTGTGTGAGGGGGGGATTTGTGGGAGACGAGGTCAGGGAAGGAGATGGGCATTTTCAATGGGGGATTATTTTGCCTGCCCCTTTAGGGGTCATTTGGCCACACTTGCAGATACTTTGGTTGTCCCAATGGAGGAAGTATGACTGGCATCTAGCGGGTAGAGCCCAGGGATGCTGCTTAACGTCCTACAATGCACACGACAACAAAGAGTTATCCGGCCCCAGATGTCAATAGTGCTGGGGTTGAGAAACCCTAGACTTGGTTATTGAGGGCCTGTGGGAGTTTGATCTTCACACAAAAGAGCCACTGTGGGGTTTGTTTGCTTGTTCAAAATTCATTTGTTGATTTAATTTGGATAGGCAACAACCACATATAGCTCTCAGAACTCAAAACACCGCAAAGAGGTATGCAGCGAGAACTCTTCCTACCAGAACGCCTCCCCTGGCGCATTGCCCAAACACAGCCCCGGACAGGGAGGCGTCCTCCAGTGACCCTGTGTCCAAGGCACTCACCGGCCCATCTTCCCACAGCAGTCTGAGACGGACTTTATCACAGAACAAATGTCCACGTGTAACCGAGTCTCGCTCCAGACTTTGTATTTTTCCCATCCATTTGTCTGGTTATTCATGTGCCTGTGGGACCCACTAACGGATTTGAAGCCCAGGAGTCGCAGGATCAGATTCACATTTTTAGAAGATCAACCGGCTACAGGTGGGGACAGCAGTTGTAGGAAAGGAAGAGTGGAGGCAATCAGGCCTGACATCAGACAGGGGCAGTGTCCATAACAGAGGTGACGCGGCGTGGCCAGGTGACAGTGGTGGTGGCAGGTGAGAAGTTGGTCCTATCTGCGGTGGCCACTCCTCATCACCCACTTTCTGTTTCAGGGGCTCCAGGAAGACCTCTGAGATAAGAGCTGACGCAGAAGACAGGGCTCGAGCTGTGATTCGAGAAGAATTCCAGAACCTGGGGCCCATCAAGTGCGTGAGAGTCCCCGGGGCGGGGAGGAGCCAGGCGTTAGGCTTTCAGGAGAGCTGCCTCAAGCCCCTCAGGGTTTCCTTGGGGACAGATGCCCCCCACCTTTCCACCTAACACACCCTCTCCCTGCTAGTACCCAGGATGTCTGACACGGTCTCGGGTGGTTCCTTAGACCTTGTTTAATTCACGTTTCCCCTGTGGTGACAATAACTGGGCTCCAGCAAGCCCGTGTTCAAGGACTGGCTCTGCCACTAACTTCCTGTGTGGCCTCGGGCAAGGTGCTAACCCTCTCTGGGCTCTGCTCCCCAGTCAGTGAAATGGGTACACTGGGCAGCTATTTCCTCCCACGTTTGGGGATTCTCTTTCCACCTGTGTCCTCCTATCTCTCCATGACTCTACCCCCCTGTGTGCCTCGTCTTCCTCCCACGTGTGTTTGTCTGTCTCCATCTGTCTGTTTGACTGTCCCTTCTCTCTCTCCTACCTCCAGTTCTGTCTGTCTGTTTCCTTTTCTCTTGGCTTTTCTGACACTGTCTCTGTTTCTCACTTTCTCTCTCTTTGATTTTCCATAGGGCGCTGCAAACTCCCAGTGATAAACGATATAACAGTTTGGGGACAGGGATGGTTGATGCCCAGGAAGGATCCTGAGGGAGTGTGGGAGCCCGGGACATGAATTACTTATGCCAGGGGACACTCCTCCCCTCACTCGGGGACCTCCCAGAGAGTGGGTTATATTGTTCAGCTTTTGCCGAGGTGGGGCCTGGGCCCAGACCCCCCTGTGGGCACCTGCCTGAGCCCGCCCCATGCTGTGATCTGCATGAAACCCAGGGTCACCATGTGCCTGCATATCTGTGCCACAGGTTTGCTGAACAGGCCGTTTTCGTCCTTTTCGGCATGTTCGCCGTCCTCCTCTTCTCCCGAGACCCGAAGTTCATCCCTGGCTGGGCCAGCTTCTTCACTCCGGGGTGAGATTCTGGGGACCCCCAGGTTGGAGTCCAACAGGGAGGATTCTGGGAGGGGCCACTTGGACCTGGAGAGGCAGTATGGCTGGGGAGACTCGTGTCCAGGTTATAATAATAGTTGTGTTACGGGCGGGCGCGGTGGCTCACGCCTGTAATCCTAGCTCTCTGGGAGGCCAAGGCAGGCGGATTGCTTGAGGTCAGGAGTTCAAAACCAGCCTGAGCAAGAGCGAGACCCCGTCTCTACTATAAATAGAAAGAAATTAATTGGCCAACTGATATATATAGAAAAAAATTAGCCGGGCATGGTGGCGCATGCCTGTAGTCCCAGCTACTCGGGAGGCTGAGGCAGGAGGATTGCTTGAGCCCAAGAGTTTGAGGTTGCTGTGAGCTAGACTGACGCCACGGCACTCACTCTAGCCTGGACAACAAAGCAAGACTCTGTCTCAAAAAAAAAAAAAAAGTTATGTTAATATTAATACCATTGTAATATATTATTATATTATAATCAATAATTATAATAATTAGTAATCAATGACCAATAATCAATATAATAATCAATAATCAATATAATTAATAATGGGTCCCTATTTCACTTTCAAAGAGTTTAGGTTTAGCAAACATTTGGTTTCTCATGTGTTAGGAGCTTTGGCTTGGGAATCAAACAAAACTGGGTTTGAAGTCTAGCTCGGCCACTACGAGCTGTGTGACTCCGAGTACATCATTCATTCATGCATTCAGTCAACATTTATGGAGCGCCTATTATGTACTAAACATCATGCCTGATGCTGGGGACACAGTGAAAAGCAAGTAGTTAGACAAGATAGCTGCAAGTTGTAATGAGTGCTATGCAGGAAAGCGTGAGAGGGCTATATTATGAAATAACAGGGTGGGAGCATGGATTTGGGATAGTTCCGGGAAGAACCAAAGGTAGAGATCAAAGCTGTGGAGACACACCGCGAGTGTCTTCTACTGACACCTGAGCTAGGAACAACTTAGCAGTTGGAGAATGGGAAGAAGCCCCGTGTGAGAAGGGAGGGAAACGGGCAGGAAGGGCCGGTGAGCGCCAGGTCACAGGGGGTCTTCTTGGGCCTGTTATGTATTTTGATCTTTTTTGTCGTGTTTCTATGTCGATACATAAAGATTGACATTATCTTTTATTGTTTTTCTAGAAAAACAGAGGCAGGGTATTTCATAATGTAGATGGAACATTATTTAAACATGTCCCTAGCAAAAAAATCTTCTTTTTTTTCTTTGCGCTTCTTGATCATGAACACCCTGTACATAATCTGTGCACAAGAGTCCAATTCATTCCTGAGGATAAATTCCCAGAAGTAGAATAACTAGATCAAGGAGTATTCACATGTAAAATTTTCAAATATTTTTCCAAATATGCCCTCCAGAAGAAGGTTAAACTCACTTATTCTCCCACTACCAGTCTATGTTCCCAACACCCTCACCAGGTTGTATCTCCTTTGACTGTTGGCAGTTTAATGGTATTCCATTAGGGTTTCGATTGGTATTTCTTTGATGATGGTGATATCTCCCAACTTCTCCCATCTCTCCCAACTTCTTGGCTATTCGAACACTCTTCTTTCCAAATGTGTGAGCTGAGAGAGCTTTCGTTAGCAAGAGGCTCTGGGATTCCTTGAACTTGGAGCCAGAACAATCTGGGTTCAAGGCCCATCTACACCGTCCTCGGTCTGGCCTTGAACAAGTTGTTTCTGCTCTCTGACCTTCCCATGCCCCATCTGAAATGGAAGGCGCCTGCCTGAAGGGCTTAATGTCAACACGGCTCCCCGGGAGGACACACTGTGGACGCTTCAAAGGCGATGGTTAGGTTCTAAGGTGGAGTCCATCTGGGCTCTACCCGTGTGAGTGGGCCGCACTACCTCATGGTGAGTTGTCGACCCCAGGAAGGGTACAAGCACGAGCTGCACAAACACACACAGGGCTCTTCGGGGGTCCAGGTTAGGGCGATTTATTGGGGTTCCATGGACTCGAACATTGTGTGGCTCTCACAGTCTTCCTCTTTGGCCAAGTCCTTCTTCCTAAGGTCCTGGAATTGGGAGGATAAGCGTTTCTTTGGGCTCAAGCAGCATCTAAATGCCGGGGGAGCTGTGGATAAAGGGCTTTTGCATTGTGCTGGGTGCAGTGGGACACAGTCCGGTGGCACAGCCTGCAACAGTGCCCCTCACAGCAGGCCTAATCCCCACAAATCCTCATTCGGGAATCTGCCAAACTGCCTGCTGAGATGCCTGGGGTCACATGCTTGGGGGCCTTCTCATTTGTAGGTTTCTTTCCGATGCTGTTACCGGCGTGGCCATTGTCATCGTTTTGTTCTTCTTCCCGTCCCAAAAGCCTTCTCTCAAGTGGTGGTTTGACTTCAAAGGTAAGGAGGCCGAGGCGGGGCGCTCGGCGGGCTCAGGGAGGACTGTGGTGTGGCCCGTGGTAATCAGCGGCCTGGAGCGGCCCCATGGTAGTGACCTCGTGACCCTGCCTGTCCCCCCTTCACTATCTGAGCAGTGACCTTGTCTGGAAACTTAGGGCCGCCCAAGGTGACAGTCCAGGACAGGGGTTAGCAACTGCAGTCTTCGGGCCAAATCCAGCTGCTGTTTTTGTACAGCCCATTAGCTAGGCATGGTTTTCACATATTTTAAATGGTCGAAAAGCAATCAAAACAAAAATATTTGATGAGTCATGAAAGTTATATGAAATTCAAATTTCAGCATCCCATAAATAAAGTTTTGCATTTCCTCAAGAAATCCGTGGAAATTCATTGTCTTTAGTTATATAAGTGCCTACACAATAGCCTCCGTTTTGCCTCTTGGCCCACAAAACCAAAAATATTTACTTTCTGGCTCTTTACAGAAAAATGTTGCCGACCATTGGCCCAAAGCAGGGGTGGCACCTGGGTCGCCTACGGAGCCAGGCACGAAACCCGCGCTGGCTTTCAACTGGGTAGAGAGAGGCAGGGCGGAGGCAAAACTGCCTGAAGTTCAAATTCAGTTTTTAAAAAATCACTGAGTGTCCGTAACCGAACGTCTGTAGGTTGGCCCTCAGATGGCCAGCGGTGGCCCCACCGGGCTTCCAGCCGTGCCTGCCAGAGGGTGACGCCAACACTGCCACCAGGACAGAGGCCACGCTGGCCCGGTCTCCACCACCCTGGAGCAGTGGACGAGCTCTGGACCAGGAGGCAGGAGTAGTCTGACTGTCTTCCACTGTTGAAGAAGACAATAGAGTGTTAGGCAGGAGAGCCCTGGCCAGGGAAGAGCCGGGGTTCGAGTTTGGGGGGTACGGCGTGAGGCTCTGCAGCGAGACAAGGGTTCCCAGGCCTCCATGAACAACAGTTCTTGTGGCACAGGTGGACCTGGGGCGGCAGGACTCGAACCCAGGGAGGCTCGGCCGTGGGCTTGCGGGCTCTGTGGTTGAGCAGGATCCAGCTTTTCTCCCCAACCCTGTTCCCCCCGGCCCTCTTCCCCCGTCTGTCCTCATCACTGCCTCTGCTTGCCACTTCTTGGCCTTCCGGGAGTTTCTACCGCCTCTCAGGTTTGGCATCTTTATGGCTTCTGCTCCGTTTCTGTCTCACTTTTTTATAGCTTCTGTTCCTTGTCGTGTCTTCCCCTCTGCTTCCAAAAGGGAGAAACCATCTCCACCCCCTGGGGTGGCATTCCTGCGGAGCCAGCTGCGAAGGTGTGCAGGCTGCTGCTACTAGGCACGGAAATGCCACGAAATTGGTCGTTGGCGCTGGAGTAACATGGGAAGCGAGCATGGCCCGAGGAGATACTTTCTAGCATTCAGCACATCCTCGTCTCCTCCCTGCGCTCCGTCTCCTCGAAGCTGCACGACTCTCCCCATCACTTCATTCCAGGCTCTGTCCAAATGCCGCCTCCCAGAGGAGCCTTCCCTGACTACACCATCTAGAAGAGCACCCTTTCTTTGTCACTCTCTGTTCCGTTACCATGTTTTATTCTTCTTCATAGCACGTGCAGTTTCCTGACATTCCATATTTACTTGTTTGTCACCTGCCTTCCCTACCGCAATGTGAGTTCCCTGGGGAGAGGATTTTTCTCTGTTTTGGCCCCTTGTGTGTCCCCAGTGCCCAGAAGAGTGTTTGACACATGGTGGGAACTCACTATGTATATTTGTTAAGTAGATGACCAAGGGCTTGCTCTGGGCAAGGCCCCGGGTGGAGCCGTTTGCACACACGGGTTCATTTCATCTTGCCAGTGAGTCTCTGTGGGAAGCGCTGTGAGCCCATTTTGCAGATGAGGAAATTGAGTCTCAGAGAGGCAGAGCCACTGGCCTGAGTCACACGGCAGAGCTAGGATTCAAATTTAGTGCAAAGCCTGTGATTTTAGCCACTGCTCTAGATGGCCAGCTGGCGCAAGTTGAGCTGGAAGTGGGAAACCCACATGGTCAGAGGCTGTGCTTGGAAGAACTGGCAGCAAGGGCACGGTGGGCTGGGATAATAATGAAAACAGTAATAGCTGGCGTTAACTGCGGCTTGGCACATGGCAGCAGGCGGTCTCCATAAGCACTCGCCATTCCGTCTGCCTTACGTGAGACCCATGTTCGGGGCCTTCTCCCTTCCCTCATCCCGCCCTTACCTGCTATGTGGGGCAAGCCGCTTTACTTTTTCAGACCTCTTGTACCCCTTTAGTGAAATTATATTTTATGCCCTGCAGGCAGAGAACGGGGCCACCTGCCATCTCTAGTTGCCCTTCCAGTTCTGGGCTTGCTTGTGTGTTGCATTTGGCCCAAGAATCCCCTGGCAGCATATAACGCCTGCACTGTGTATATGCACCTGTGGGCTGTATGCACCTGTGGGCTATATACACCTGTGGGCTATATGCACCTGTGGGCTGTATACACCTGTGGGCTGTGTGCACCTGTGGGCTGTATGCACCTGTGGGCTGTGTGCCCCTGTGGGCTGTATGTGCCTGTGGGCTATATACACCTGTGGGCTGTATGCACCTGTGGGCTGTATACACCTGTGGGCTGTGTGCACCTGTGGGCTGTATGCCCCTGTGGGCTGTATGCCCCTGTGGGCTGTATGCCCCTGTGGGCTGCATACACCTGTGGGCTGTATGCCCCTGTGGGCTGTATGCACCTGTGGGCTGTATACATCTGTGAGCTGTATGCACCTGTGGGCTATGTACACCTGTGGGCTGTATGCACCTGTGGGCTGTATACATCTGTGGGCTGTATGCACCTGTGGGCTATGTACACCTGTGGGGTGTATGCACCTGTGGGCTATGTACACCTGTGGGCTGTATGCACCTGTGGGCTATATGCACCTGTGGGCTATGTACACCTGTGGGCTATGTACACCTGTGGGCTATGTACACCTGTGGGCTGTATACACCTATGGGCTGCACGCTAGCTGGTGGAGAGCTATCATTAAGTAGCTTTTATTGTCTTTATTTCCTGATTATAAAATATTGTTTTAGGTAAACACTGTGTAAAATTTGGAAAAAGTTGAAAAGGAGAGGTGAAATGTCAATGATTGCTTGACCAGGAAGTGTCCTGGGAGGTGGGGAACTGCCATGAAGGATCTGGACCAGTCCTCCCTCCTCCCTGGCCACAGCCCACAGAAAAAAAATCTCATTTCAGGAGTGTTTGTACCAAGCACTGGGCTAAGTGCATCATGTACGTTATCTGACAAATTCGTATGGCGTAACTGTCAGGTGCCAGACACCGTTCTAGACACTGGGACTGCAACCGTCCACGACACAGAAATGCCCCCTCCGCCTACAGACCCGCCTTTGCCTCAGTCAGTGTTCACGGGGACCCTCCATGTCCTCGTCCTGTGCCATGTGTCAGCTGAGGACGTGGGGCTCGGAGAAGCAAGGTCACTTTCCAAGGGCACACAAGGCCTTGTCTCCAGGCCTGTGCTTCCAGCCCAGGGAGGGCACACTGCCCCCGCGGGCCACAGCAGGCCCAGCACCTGCTTTGCAAACAGTTTTATTTACACTGTGCCCATGTGTCTGTGCATAGTCTCTGGCTGTCTTCGTGCCACGGTGACAGAGTAGTTACAAGAAAATCTACGCGTGGCTGCAAAGCCTAAAATACTCACTCTAACCCTTTACAGAAAACGTTTGCTGATGCACTCCCTGTTCTAACCACTGCACACACTGCCACTTTTGAGGAAATAAAAAAATCATCCTGTCATTTCATGGGCCCAAGATATACTTAGTTTCTCTATTTTTCTGAATTTCCTTCCTCTTTTGTTCCTCTCTATACACATTCAAATACAAAGAAAGCCTTTTCTTTCATAAATGAGAGTAAAAATAGCACCTGTGCCAAGGAACTGTTGGGAGATTTAAAGGATGTGCTGCATGTGGAGTTCTAGAAAATTCTCAAGCCACGGGAATCATGAAAATTACTTTCATTCTGAATAGAGCAGACACCCACCTTGATGCTCGTGAGGTTGCACTCGAAAGCTCCAAATCAGATGCCAGAGCCAGGCCTTGACTTCCTGGGGACCCCTGAGGCTCCCCACAAGGTGGGGCTTCAGGGCTGGTGGCCCCTTCCTCAGGCTGGGTGGCCCTGAGTGTCCTTTTCTCTGCCCAGCTCCCAACACGGAGACAGAACCCCTGCTGACATGGAGGAAGGCCCAGGAGACGGTGCCCTGGAACATCATACTTCTCCTGGGAGGGGGCTTCGCCATGGCCAAAGGCTGTGAGGTAAGGCTGGGCAGGGGCCGTGGGTGGTCGGCAGCGCAGGAGGTGGGGGCAGTCCAGGATCAGAGCCGGACAAGGACAGGGGCCTGCAGGAGCAGACAGGCTTCCTCACTCGCCAGATTGGGGTGATCGCACGGGCCCACGCTCAGTGCCTGGTGCTGCAGAGAAAGAGAGGAAAAAGGAACGATCTGGACCCCCAGGGAGCTCACGATGGGCGTAATATTAAGACTAATACTAATAATAACATGACTTAAGGGCTCTGAGTACAGAGGAATAAAGTGTTTTGTGCTTGCCCCAAGCCAGGCACTGTTCAAAATGCTTAAACCTCCCAACACAGCTGGGAGGTGGATGCCATTATGACCCACACTCTCAAGACACAGAGAGGTAAAGCAACTTGCCTAACATCACACCGCTGTGGGATCAGGATTAGAATCCAGATAGCTTGGCTCTAGAGTCTATGGTTGTTGTGATTGGATGTTGACAAGGGAAAATCAGAATCAAGGATGACATGGAGGTTCACGGGCTGAGCATCTCTGTGGAAATGGTGCCATTTTCCGTGGTGATCCGAACCCAGCCTGGTGCTGAGGCAGGGGGCTGGATGAGATGACCCTGCAGCCTAGGGGCTTCCCTGAGCAGGGGGTGTGGGGAGAGGCACAGGCTGTCAGTGGGGGCTGGGCTGCAGGACCGCAGAGCATGCTGGGAAGCCAGTCTGGCTCTCAGCCCAGCCCTGGGCAGCTGGCCGGGGTTTCTGTTCAACAGGGGCTTTGTGTAGAAGCTGCCCGTTTCCCTCAACCTCTGCCGGTACCATATCCTCCCCAGGCAGCCACAGCCTGGCCCGGGAGGGACCAGAATGCTTATGGCACGTCCTGGTTCCTGGCTCCTGCCCCATACCTTTGCCAAGGCCACAGCCGGGCCGCGTGAGGTTTCCAGGTCCTCGGATGCGGTCCAGGGTGAGCCTGGAAGTGTGGGCTCCCCAGTGCTGGTTCCGAAGGCTGGAAGTATATCCTCATGCAATTCACTTAAGCCAACTTAGCGTCCTCACTGCCGTCTTCTTCTGCAAACTGTGCAGTCATGACTCCCCAGGTGCTTAAACTCGAGCCCAGAGGCTTCCCGGGCACACAGCTGCAGTGACCTGGCCCCTGCCTGCCTCCCCAACACCGGCACCTCCCTCTCTCCCCTCCCGGACCCCCGTCCTGGCCCCTTGCTCTTTCTCAGCCACCTGAGACTCACCGGGTGTTCTTCCCTCGATCCCTGAGTCCTGGCTCTTCAGGTCCCAGCCCTGGGTTCCCCGCACGTCCTGCAGCCCCGCCCCCGTCCCTCCCTCCTGTGACTCTGCCTGTCTCCTTTACCCCACATCTAGCCCCTACGGCGTCTTGGGGCTGTTTGTTCATCGGTTGTCTCCCTGGCTAGAATGGAAGCCCTGGGAGGGCAGGGACCAGATCTGTCTTACCCAGGCTGCTCCGGGCATCTAGAAGAATCCTGATACATACCAGTGCTCAACAAATATTTGTTGATATGATATAAGATGGGCTGTTCTGAGGACTGACAACATAGTGTGTGCAGAGTCAGACGGCTGACACTTGCCAGGTGCTTGAGCCAGGAGCTGCTCCCATCTTCATACTATTATTGTTGTCATTATTTTACTGTCTTATGGGTAAAAGATTGATCTTATTCTGTTGCCTTCACATATATATATACATACACACACACATTGCATGTGTATATATACACATATACACACATATATAGATATCTTTAATCGCCACAATAAGCTTATCTACAAATATATTGAGGTAATAGAAGCTCGATACTAAGTCAGAGTGGAGCAAATCCTAGAGGCAAAGAGAAACGTGTACTCTCTCCCCCCATCCCTCATTGTCTGCCAGAAATCTGAGACATCTGTATTATTGTTACTTTATTGGATAGTGGGTGGGCCTAGTGAAATCGGGACATAACCCCATCATTAGTTAAGGAGCATCTGTATTATGAGGTTTTTATGAAGATTAAATACATTAATATTAGAAAAGTACTTAGAAGAGCACTGGGCACAGAGTAAGCACTATACTGTGATTGTTAAACATAATAAGTAACAATAAATTACATTCAGTGCTCACTGTGTATAGGGACTGTTTTTATGGGTACTCATTTAATCCTTACTGCGGTCTCTTAAACAAATCAAGGAGCAGAGATGTCAATTAACTTGCCCGAGTCACACAGCTTGCACGCGGGGCGGTGGTTTGGCTGTCCGCACGTGTGGATAAAGCCTTCTCTCTTTTCCTTCCTTCAATCTGATTTACTGGTTTCTCTACCCGAGAATTATTATACAAAGCTGTATATACACAGCCGAGCCTATGGTGTTTTAAGAGTCTTCTAAGAAAATTTTAAGGACGTTTTTGGCCACAGGGGATTTTGACTTGAACCATTGAACTTCTACCATAGCATCCCCCTTATGAGATGGGACCCTGTTAATATCGAAGGGACCAAGCAGAGACAGCCTGGTCAAAGTAGAAAGGAGGAAGAGGCGGGCAGCATCCTGCCTGCTGAGTCTCCCCGACCCCATCCTGCAGAGTGGCCTCGGGTACTTCTGGCCATCTTTGGGGACCCTAAGGAACACAGTTTGACAACCACTGCATTGGGCGATTTCTGAGTCCCACCACCTCTGGCGCCTCATGACTTGGTGGTACTAATTACAGCTGGCGGGCATCGGGCACTTACAAAGTGCCCGGCCACTTCTCTACGTGTCTTATGGGTTAGCGCCTCTTCTCTCTACAAGAACCCCCTGGCACAGGCACTATGGTATCCCTGGTTTACAGATAAGGGAACTGAGGCACAGAGAGGTTAAGTTACATGCCCAGGATGGCACAGAAGCTCTGTTAAACAGAGCTCTATTAAGCTCTGGAAAGGATTAAGCTGGGAAACAAACCCAGTCTGACTCCAGAGCCCTTTCTGCTGACCCTCTGACCATACCACCTCTGACTTGGCTGTTGCTGGCCCATGGGTCCCTGGGAACACTGTGTTTCCAAGGAAACAGAGCTGCCGATTCCTACAGGAATGAGAACAAGCAGGTGAAGTCCCTTGAGCGTCCCCAACAGAACCCCAGGCAACTGGGGGTGTTCCCGTCTCAGGAAGCTGCCAGACCTCCCTCCAGCGTGGGAGCCGAGCCGAGGCCCGAGTGGCCGCTGGGATGCTGGCTGGAAGCCCATCACTCAGAGGCCCAGCTACAGGGAGGCGCTTGGCTTCTCGCTCACCCGGGTCATTAATATTCCCTCCTCTAGCCTCTCTCTGTTTAACTGCACAGGCTGGCGTACCTCTGTTTGCTAGGGCTGTGGCTTATGGGTAAAACCAGTGGCCCTAGTTTTCCTTGCAGCACGCCCCGGGCCAGGGGAAGGACTGCCCCCCCCCCCCCCCCCCGCTTTGCATCATACCGTATTTACCAGGTGTCAAACAGAGCAGTTGTACGAGAAACACCCTAATCGTACAAGGACTCTTCTGGGGGAAAAATATTTTTAAGCATTTTTTATTTGTGCATTGAAGGTAAATTTTAAGATGAATTATAGGGTCAAATATATTATTTTATTTATGTAAAAGTTGTACACCGTATTCTAGAATTGTTTATGAAATTTTAAGTCCTGAACAAGCAGTGAATTTTCTATTAAACATAAAAGAAAATATATAGAGTTTCTCTGGTATAGGGTTGATAAAAGGGCTGTGGTAGAAATGCATTTGATGCTAAATGTTAGGGGACTAATGCAACTCTGCCCTTGATCCCCTCCTAACACCTCAGCTTTGCCGTCTGTGTTTAGTGGACAGTGCGCCATTGCTCCACGGCACCACGAGGGGGTAGCATCGAGCACAATTTGGCATCCTCTGCTTTGCCCTCTGTGGTCACAGTGACGGTGTTTTGGCTCAGGGTTATTTAAGGGTAATGTGTTTGCTGGTGGAAGGGCAGAGGTGGGGTGGGGCATGTGCATATTACATACTTGCAAATAGGGTAACTTCTGGAGAAGTCAGCAGAGAGAGCACCCCAACAATTCTGCAGCGTGGGTGACAGAGTGAAGTCTAGGGGAACCGCTGTACCCTTCTCTGTCCTGGAGGACAGTGGCCAGCTCTGGGTGTTGTTCTTAATTAAGAGTCAAAGTGACAGACTGGAGTGTCCAGAGGAAGGTGCTGGGTGGTAGGGGGCCGTGCAGAAGAGCGTTAGCTAACGGAGGTGGGTGTCTGTCTCAGTGGCTACTTTTGGGGACCTTGGGCAAGTTACAGAAGACTTCCCAGGTCAGGTCCCTGCACAGTGTAGTAATACCTACCTTACAGGGTGGCTGGGAAGGGTCAGCAGGCAGTGCATGCAGGTGCCTGGCCCCCTGTGGAGCCTCAGCAGTGGCGAGTCTTACGTCAACAAATAGTAATGCAATGTTAATATCTGTATTACCATCATTGTGTTAATCTTCCTTACCACTGACCATAAATATCTTTAGTATTGATAATTACATTGTGTTGTATTTGATATATATCTGATACGTATTTTATATTTATATGATATATAGGAAATCTTATATATTAGTTGAATATTAATAGAGTGTTATATTATAATAATAATGAATATTTTTATATAAGTAATCGTTGATATTTTGGTAATTTAATAACCATTGTTGGAAGGATGAGAAGATTTACATGGAAGGTCCGATTTCCCTCTCCTGCTCAAGTTGGAACTTAGGGGTGTTAGAACCAAATGGATTATTGGGGACCCAGGGTTTTGGCCCCTGGCCTGTGGGGTATGGCGGGGAGAGCAGCTCAAGAGGTGGAGAGGCTGCTGGCTCCAACGTGTGACCCTGGACGTGCTGCTTGCTCACTCCGCGCCTCGGTCTCCCCACCTGTGAAGGGGTGCAGTTGTCATTGTCGTGATCCATCCCAACGCTCTCTCTGAGGTTGCGGCCGGGGGGTCTGGGTGGGCTGGGGTGTGAAGGGCTGCCGTCCCCTCCGCAGGAGTCGGGGCTGTCTTCGTGGATCGGCGGGAAGCTGGACCCCCTGGAGAACGTGCCCCCCGCGCTGGCCATGCTGCTCATCACCGTCGTGGTCGCCTTCTTCACCGAATTCGCCAGCAACACTGCCACCGTCATCATCTTCCTGCCGGTGCTGGCGGAGCTGGTGAGGGTCCCACTGGGGGCGGAGGGCACCCCTCTCCCAAAACAGGTTCCGAATCTCTCCCCTGCTACCGGAGCTTCCCTGGGGGCCACTGTTGCCATTGCCGTCTTCCAAAATGCACAAACGTGTCAGAACCACAGTACAATTTTTTTAAAATACCAGTTTTTTTTTTATTCAAGACATGCATGAACAGAGTAAATATTTTCAAAGTGCCCCCAATTCTCTCTTTTGAGAAAATTAACCCATGGTGACATGGAGAGTTTTCTAGAACACTTAAGTCACCAAATTTGGATTACGAAGAAGCAGAAAAATCTAAGTAGACAAATAACTGTAGGAAAAATTCTAACAGTAGCAAAGCTGTAGCCTCCCTCCACAGCGGGGGTGTCAGCACTATTGACATTTTGGGGCTGGATCATTCTTTGTTGTAGGGGCTGTCCTGTACATTGGAGTATGTTTAGCAGCAGCTCTGGCCTCTACTCACCTAAATCGTGACAATCCAAAATGTCTCCAGGCATTGCCAAGTGTCCCCTGAGGGGACACAAATCACCCCCTTTCTCCACCTGGTTGAGAACCCCTGGGCTAAAACTCACCAGCCGCAGATGGTCTGCCAGGTGAGAGCTAACAGACCTTCAAGGCACAGGTGGGTCCCAACTCACCCAAATTGTTCATGAGCACAGAAAAATAAACAAAGTCATTCAATCCACGTGTAAGCTTAGCAAACCCCTGACACCCAAACCAGAGAAGGAGTTCCATCTCATATATAAACAGAGATGCAAACAGCAAGATGAATCCAGGATTGTAGGAAAAGAATGATATATCATAATCAGGTAGATTTTATACTAGGAATTTTTAAAAAGGAAACCATCAATATGGTTTTATATTGAAGCAGATTAAAGAAGACCAAACCATATGATTATCTTAACATAACCCCAAATTGATCAAATTAAATCAATGTTGCAAGTAAATGCTTTGTATGCAAACGGCACACTTATCTGTACCATCCTGTGTTTAGTTTTTGTTTGCTTATTTTTTGCATCAATTTGTAATGGAGTTCACACCATATTAGCACACAGATATACATCATATTATTTTTCAATGACTGCAGCATATTCCATTATAAATGGACGGTTATCAGTATATTTAAGCAATCACCTACTAATGGACATACAGGTGTTTCCAGACTTTGCTGTTATCAACAATACTGCCTTGACCTTGCCTGTTCTGTGCATCTTTGATGACATCTAGAGAAAATCCCTATAACTGAGATTCCTGGATCAAAGAGCATATGCATTTAAAAATTTGCCAGATATGAGCAAAGTGCCCTCCAAAGTGGCTCACCATTTTACAGCCCCAGCAGCGGTGTGGGATACTCTTGCTAGGTGGGATCCGATTTCATCAGACCCTTTCCCAGAATCTGAGGAACCTGGAAATTGAGAGAGACGGGGGTAATATGTTGGTATGGGGGAGAGAAGGAAGCAGAAGACCCAGCAGGGTTTATAAGGGGCAGCTTTCTCTGGACAAGACACTTGAAAAGGTCACGTTCTTATAAATGGTGCTCATTATCAAAATCAAAACATTTTACACACAGGGGGTGATTTTAGATCTTTTTGAGTAAAAGTATATGCTTTGGGTTGTGAAAATTCCCTATGGGGACCAAACCATCCTATCTTAAGTAAATTGCCAGAGACTTAGAGGGGAAAGAGGTGACAAACCGGTGGCCTGCTGACTGAGGCCAGCTCGTAGACACTTTTCATCCACAGTCTTAGAACTTTGGAGAAGCTTGCCAACAGAAGCCATCCTGGGCTCACTTTATCTCTGAAATCCAGTGAGGCACCCAAGCAAAGGCAACCAGAGGCCAGTTGTTGGGATTGTTTGGCTGAGGGAGGGGCCAGGCAGGGGGACAGTGATTTCAGAGCCCTGGTTCCCAGCCTGCAGCCCCAGGGAGCTTGTTAGCTTGTTAGAAATGCAAAGTTTTGCATCCAGCCAGGCCTGCCCAGTCAGCCACTCTGGGCAAGGTGGGGCAACCCTCTGGGTTTTAACAAGCCCTCCAGGTGGTCCTGATGCTCCTTCACCTTTGAAAAGGAGTGTTCTAGAGAGATGGCCCAGGAAGGTCACTAACCCTGGGAATGTTCTCTCCCTCTCTCTGTCTGGTTCCCTTCTTGTCTGCCTCTGCCTGTGCATCTTTCTGACTGCATTTCTCTCTCCGACTCTCTTCTCTCCATTGTTCTGCCACTCGGCCCATCCCTGTGTGTCTTTGCGTTCATCTCTTTCCAACTGTCTCCATCCCTTGTTCTGGTCTCTGTGTACCTGTCTCTGCCCTGCTCTCCCCGGCCCCTCCCGGGCCCAGGCCATCCGCCTGAGGGTGCACCCCCTGTACCTGATGATCCCCGGCACGGTGGGCTGCTCCTATGCCTTCATGCTCCCGGTCTCGACGCCTCCCAACTCGATCGCCTTTGCCTCTGGACACTTGCTGGCCAAAGACATGGTGAGTCTGGGCACCATCTAGCAGGGGCCTGAGAGGTGGGTGGGCTCCGGGCGGTGGGCAAGGGCACCTGGGCCCCCACCCCATGGCCCCATCTCTGAATAGCTTCTTCTGCCTGGGACGGCGCAGGCTTCAGGCACGGGATCCCAGCAGAACAAATGGAGAGAGAGCAAGAGTGAGAGAGAGGCGGGAGGAGATGCACAGACCAAACAGGAAAGAGAGAAGGCAAAGGGAGACAGTGACGTTCATTCACTTGTTCATTAATTCATCGCCCAAGTGTTTGCTGGGTGCATTCTATGTTCCGGCCACTGGGGGCGCAGCAGTGTGGGTGAGACACAGATCTGCCTCCAAGGAGGGGGCTTTCTGTTGATAGCGACAAAAGAAAAATTCTACTCAATAGACAAGTATAGCCTTGACCTATAGAGACCTATAGGGAAAGAGTGTGTATAAGTGCATGCATGTGCACACATTTGTGTGGGGGGTATATGCATGTGCATATGTGTATGTGTATATGTTTAGGGTTGGGGTGCTTAATGATCAGACAAGATTGTTCTTAAGTTGCATGACCTTGGGCAAGCTAACTTCTCTGAGCCTCATTTTCCTCTTCTGTAAAATAGGGATTAATAATAACCTTTGTAAGGTTGCTTTCAGGGTTACGTGACGTAACCTTCTGATGACACGACACAACAGCAAGGCACATAATACCTGGAACCTAGACACCACTCAATGAATGGGGACATTTGCAGCTCTTTGAGTGACAGCCTAGGTAGTGTAGAGGTCACAGGGTCTTGGGCGTTGACCAACCTGGGTTTGTGTTCTGGCTCCGTCACGTCCCAGCTGTGGGAGCTTGGGTGAATGCCTTCGTGTCTCTGAGCCTGGGTGTTCCCATCGTATGATGTGGCTCCATTGCAGGTGCGGACGGGCCTCCTGATGAACCTGATGGGCGTCCTGCTGCTCAGTTTGGCCATGAATACCTGGGCACAGAGCATCTTCCAGCTGGGCACCTTCCCGGATTGGGCTGCTGTCCACCCAGCCAATGTCACAGCACTGCCACCCACCTTGGCCAACAGCACACTTCAGACCTTCTGAATTCCCCTGGGGACTCCCTTGAGGCTGGGCCCTTCCAGAGGGCTTTCGCCACCACCTGCTGCTAGGACCCTACAGGACAAACAATTCTTTTCTGTAATCCAATATGCAGCAAGCAAGGAGGGTAACCTCCCGTGGTCCACTCAGGCCCACAGGCTCATTGTCTAGGGCACTTTCTCTTCCTCATGCACTGCAATGCCCAGCCGTCTCCCAGATCTGCCGCCTGAGAAGCAAGCTCCTTCATCTCTGCGCTGTCATATGCTTAGGATGCAAGAGAGCCCAGTTTCAGCAACAGTCCGCAAATCTGGAATGGCGTTTGTCTTACACAGTTGGGACAGGAGGCCATCTGTCCCCATGGGCACAGCTTATATTATCTCCCACTGACTACTTTAGGTTGCGCTCTAGAAAGACCTTTTTGTCTTAAGGATCACTTTCCTGGGAGAGGCTTTTGGGGCTGCGATGTTTCGGTCCAGCTGTTCCAGCTGTTCACAACCAGTGTGTGTTCTGCTTGGCTGGTTTCCAGCCTGCAGCAGTTGTTTGAATACTATAATCCTTCTGCTAATACACAGCAGCCAGACACTTTTTTTCCCAATCCCTGGAGACAGAGGGAGGGACAGGTGATGGGAATTTCCAAGGACATGGCGACTGTGAAAAGCCTTCTTGCTGTTTCTCTGGGCGCCCAAGCGCCCCAGGGGAGTTCTAGAAACCACAGCTGACATCTCTACCCAAGAGGTTTAGGATTCTCCTGTTTAACCGGATTCAGTTCAGCCATAATTCTGGGGTCAGGCCAGGCCTGGGCTCTACCTTCTCATAGGTGACCCATGGCCTCTCCAGCCAGGACCCTCAGGGACCTCTCCGGCTGCAGGGTAGCAGCTGCTTCTTGTCCCGGCAGCTGGTCTTTATCTTCCTACCCCCACTCCAAGCGGTAGGCATGTTTAATTAGCAAAGGCCACATTTTTCAGGGGTGAGAGAAAAGTCAAAAGATAAATTGGGGCCTTGTAAAAAGGCCAGGGTAAAATGTCTCAGGCAGGCAAAATATTGTCCCCTTGTACAGATGGGGAAAACTGAGGTATTCCCATGAGCCTGGGGCCGGAGAGAGACATCCTAGAGGATTTCCTCCCTCTTTGTTTCAAGCAGAACCACCTTGGCCTCCCCAGTGAATAGCACATCACTCGGCAGGGCAGGCACTCAGAAGTGTCTGCTGCCCGGAAGGGCGCAGTATCAGCCCAGCATCCAAGAAGGCACCGGCCGAGGGACCCTGAACCTCAAACTCCCCCTTCCTGTGCCTTGGAGGGCTGAGATTCCCCCAGGAGCAGCGTGGCTGCAGCCAGGAAGGCAGCACCGGGGACTGAACTCGCCCTTGACACGGCACAAGTGAGTCACAGGTGCTTCCCAGAGAGCAGGGGGAGCCCCCGTTGGAGGCTGAGCTCCGCCTCCTTCCGAGTGGGCGCGCCAGTATTCAGCCAGTTACAGCCACTGGGCTTGGTGAGTGGGGCCCCTGTGTGGGACAGGAAGGTTCATCCATAGAGAAAACCACGGGATTTGTAACCAGATGAAACATGATTCCAAATACTTCTGATCAAAAGTGCTGTAAAATAAAGAATGTTAATCAACATTAGACCCAGAGATTATTTGCCTTTCTGAACATAACAGAGCTTCAGAGCCTCACATTCCTGGCCTGGAGTTTCACAGCGTTGCCCTCTCTGACTTCCCTCCTGACCGCTCTCCCCTCTCCTCCCCACTCCAGCCACACATGCAACCCTCCTGCCCCAGGGCCTTTGCACGTGCGGTCCCCTCTGCTACTCCACTGTGCTCCCAAACAAGAGCCTGGCCCCCTCCCTCACTCTACACAAGTCCCTGCTCAGACGTCACCTCCTAGAGAGGCTTCCCTGTCCATCCTGTCTAGGATACCACTGTCGTGACTCCCACCCCTGTACTCTGCCATATTTTTCTTCTTAGTACTTAGGACATTGTATTATTTATTTTTTGTTTATTATCTTTCTCTTCCTCTAGAATATGAATTTATGAAAATGTAAATGTTATTTTGCTTACTGCTACAACTCTGGCACTAGAACAGTTTCTGGCATGTTGCAAGTGTCCAGTAAACAACACGAATCTACACCAGAATTTATGACAAAGCCACCTGCCCTTTGATCTGGGGTCTCTTTGGTTCATTTCTTTATTCACTCGTTCTTCCATTTATTCATTCAACAAACATCTATTTAGAACTTGTGATGTTAATCAACATTAGACCCAGAGTGTCGATTAACCTGTGCCTGCGTGGACTTACATCCTGGCAGAGGAGACAGGCAGCAGGAAATAAATGACGCTGGGTCGTGATGGAGATTATGAAGAAAATGAAACTGACCAGTGCGATAAACTGACTCGGAGGCTACTTCAGCCAGGGTGGTCAGGGAGGGCTTCTCTGAGGAGGTGGCATTGGACTAAGACCTGAAGGAGTCAGTCGGACGCTCATGGCAACACAGGAGGAAGAGAGACACTGGGGGGTTGTGGGGAGAACATTCTAGGGAGGGGGCTGCAGGTGCAGAGGTTGGAGGCGCAGAGGAGCAAAGGTGGCCTCATTTGGCTGGACGCTCAGAACCAGAACTTTGCCGGGTTTTGGAAGTCTGCTTCTGCCGCCTCTGGCTGGTCACAAGCTCGGTCTCTCTGCAACTCTCCTGAGAAAGTGTCACACTCCTGCCCGCACTCCCCAGGACTGCCCCGGCTGGATGTTACTCAGTCCTCGACGCCTGGAGGGCTTTGCCATGCTCAGGAAGAGAATATCTGGGGGCAGAAGGCCGGGTGCCGTGACCGGTGCACCCACGGGAGCGAGGGGGATGCCAGGGGCGAGTGCAGAGTCATTGGATACATACGAGGGCTCACGGCCAGGAGGCAGAAGGAGCACCCGCAAGGCAGAAAGGACAAACACAAGCAGAGCAGAACCCTGTTTTCTTACCTGTGGCTGCATAGCACAACTTAGAGCCTTGAAACTCAGGGATTCCTTGGCTCACGTTTCTGCTTTTGGACAGAGCTCTACAGGGACGGTGTTGTCTCTGCCCCGTGCAGTGTGGCCGGCGCCACTAAGCTGGCGGTTCGCCTGGGGCTGGGATGTCCACAATGGCCACTGACCCTCCAGATCCCTCTTCAGGTGGCTTCTCGAAGAGTAGCCTGGACCTCTTCATGAGACAGTGGCCTTCAAGGACGACAAAAGCTAAAGCGATAAGGCCTCCTAAGGCCCAGACGTGGACGTCTAAGACACCAATTCTGCCGCATTCTAGTGGTCAAAGCAGGCCACAGGACTGGCCTGGCTCTGGGGGAGGGACACAGACTCCACCCCTTGATGGGGGGCAGCATCCAACAGGGAGGGAGGAATGGTGGCCTCCCGTTTTAGAAGCACCTACCATAGCCCAAAAAGAAAAACTGAGCGAAAGGTACAAAATGCCGTCCTGAAAAGGGATCTCTAAATGGCTCGCACGGTTATGAAGAGATGCCCGGACCCACTTGTTCATAATCAGGGAAATAAAAATTATAATAAGATTTTTTGCCAATCAGATCAGCAAACACCAGAAACGTGGACACCAAGTGATGGTGGGTGCCAGGAAACAGACACCCTCAAGTTCCACTGGTGACACTGGACTGTCACGGTCAGCACGGCCGCAGCTTGGGGAATTCCTACGGCCCAGCCGTCCTGCTCCCGGGCCAACGGACCACCCAACGGGTCCTGAAGGAGACAGAGCAGGAGGATAATCGTGCCACTGTTGTTTGAGGCCCCTTGGTGGCCATCACTGGGGGAGTATTTAAATAAAATATGGGGGAAGCGCACTAAGGACAACACGGTGACACAGACATGATGACCCACAGGTGCACAGCATGACGGGCTCCAGGCGTGGGAACCTGCGGCCTGGGGCCACAGGTGGCCTTCAGGACCCTTGAGTGCAGCCTTTTAATAAAGGGATTTGTTGTGCTGTGAAGTTTGGATGTGGCCAAGGGGCCACACTCAGGGATCTGGGGGCCACATGTGGCCTTGGGGCCACAGGTTCCGGCAGACACGTTCTAGCTGGCGTGTCAAACTGACAGACACAGCCCAGTGGGCGGAGGAATGGAAGCGGTGATGGTAGGTGAAAAAAAAGAGAGGAAATAAAAGTCATTAAATGACTTGCCACGGAGGCTTGGTGAGTCCAGGATCCGGGAGGGAGGGCGGCAGGCTGGAGAAAGAGCCGCAGCTGGGATCTGCAGGCCAGTGCTGCAAGACCCCCCTTGCCCAGGGAAGGTCAGTCTCCTGTTCTCTCTGTCCTTCCATGGTGGATGGGCCCCGCCCACACACTGCGGGGCGCTCCGCTCTACTCCCTGTCCACCGATGGAAATGCTCATCTCACCCCAAAACACCTTCCCAGAAACATCCAGAATAATGTTCGACTAAGTATCTGGGCACTATGGCCCGGCCAAGTTGACACGTAAAATGTCACGTTTTGCACCAACGGGAGCCAGAGCACAAGGGAGTCTTTGACGCAGCCCATGCGGGGGGGTGGGCCCTGCCCGGTGCAGGAGAGCGGGGAGGGGTCTGGAGAAGTGAAGCCAGAATGACGTGACTGACCCACACGGTTTACACCAAAACAGAGCTTGCAATCCGGTGGTCCCCAGTTTTTGTTTTTGTTTCGGGGGTCTGGATTGTTCTTGTTTGCCCTCTCCCCAGGGAGTTTTAAATTATTAATTGGTTGCTAATCTTGAAAATTCAGGAAACTTCACGTACAAATCTGGATTTCTGCTTCTCTTGGAAAAGACCAGAAGATCTAGCAATAGGAGACCCTCATTGCTACCAGGCAACAGTTGTTTGGAGCAGGGTAGTTTGTGAGGGACACTTAAGTCGGAGCATGAGCTCTTTCACTGGCCTCAGTCCCCACCACTCCTCAATGTCGCACACAGGCTCTCTTCTTTCCACTCTCACCTTACCCGCCTGGGAAGGCGTTTGGATCTATGGCTCCTGAGCCACGTGATCTGGAGGGCCTATTTCAGTGTTCGTGGTCACTGGGGCCAATGGCCTCGAGCAGCACTGCTCAACACAACTTTCTGAAATGATGGAAAGGGTCTATATCTGCCCTGTCCAACACGGTAGCCACTTGCTACATGTATTACACACTTGCCATGTTGGTGACACTTGCAGTGTGCCTAGTCCAGATTGAAATTGGTCATAAGTATAAAACACCCACCGGATTTTAGAAGCATAGTATAAGAAAGTAAATGTGAAATATCCCATTAATAATTTATTATATTGTTTACAGGTCGAAAGGATATTTTGGACATATTAGGTTGAATAAAATGTTTTCTTACAGTTAATTTCTGTTTCTTTTTCATGTGGCTACTAGAAAGGTTTAAATCACACACATGGCTCATATTGGTGGCTCACATTGTCTCTATTGGGTAGCACTGGCCGTACACTAGGATTTCAGCTACCTCTTTGCACTCTCAAACCATCTGCATGGTGGCAACATCCTATCCCCACAGGCTGGGGAATTCGATGACTGTAATACCCTGTGCATCTCTGATTCTGTTCCCAGACCGAGCTCCCCGGGTGGATCTGGAGGCTCATGGCTTCCTCTTCCTCTTCCTCTTCTGTCTTATGGCTCTGAGTCCTCCGCCCACAAATTCCCCTCAACACAGCGGTTCTATTTTTGATGATTCAGAAGCCCCCTCCGGACGTTGTGGGCTTTGAGGTCAGGCCGGCCTTATATAGACAGAGGTGGCTGCCTACATGTACCCAGGAAAGCCAAAAATATCTTTCACCCTTTCCCCCCATTGCCCCGGGCTCCCAAGTCTTGCATATGTATCCACCAGAGGAACTTCTGGAAATGACCTACAGGGTCCTTAACCAATCAGCTCCCTGGTGCCCGTGCAGAAACTGGGCAAATGCTGGTGGGTGCCTTCTAGGACCCTTCCCTTCTGGCCACATGGTCCCACATGACGGGACCCAGGCCAGTGTGGCTCCATGGGCGTCGCAGCGGCCTGGACAATCAAGCCTGAGCAGCTGGGGACTCCCACAGGCAGCGCTGGCACTCGGCTCAGGTAGGAGGGGGCAGGGCGTTTGTCAACTGCTTACTGAACACTCCGCACACATGGTCTCAATCCTCAAATGACCTTAAGAAGCAGATACTGTATTCCCGTCATTATAGCAAAGATGCACAACTTAAGAAAGGAGCAGCATCTTGCCCAAGGTCACAAAGCACAGTCAGTGACAAAGCTGGCATTTGAGTTCAGCCCACTGCCTTCAGCCCAGGGCCCCTGTAGTTTTCAGGGGAACAGCTAGACAGCTGGCCTGGCCGAGCCCTCCTGTAGAAGCTGCAAATTTGTGGCCCACATTGGCTTCGGCCCACAGACCTGTCAAGATTGGTCTGCACAGTAGTCTTAATTTTTTTTTTAATGCTGAATATTTACATTAAAAGGGGAATGACTGACATCTGTGGAAAAATTAGAAAATCTGATAATGTTGGACCTCATTCAAAGGTCTTGGACCCCTCGACTGCAGCTGCCCTTTTCGAAGGGGTCTGCACTTTGCAATTCGCCGCTGTGTGCGCAGACCTGCTTTGTCCGTTACCGTCCCCGGTGGCCTCTGTGGGCAGGTGA